TAAGCCTCTCTATTGTTTGCCGGGTTCCCGCTCGCTAGGCCATTTTTGACGAAAAAACTGAAAAGATGTCTTCAGATTTTTTTCCAAAAATGGCCTTGCGAGCGGGAACCCGGCAAACAGTAGAGAGGCTTACTCAATTTCGTGGCGTTTTTCAAAAAGGGCTGGACCGGTTGCCGCCTGAATTCCCAAGGGCTTGCGCTTCCTCTTTTTGTTAAGTTTCGATGGTGTGGCGTGCTCGCTGTGCCTCTGGTGCTTCCGCAGGTGGCTGATTAGAATGGCGCTAAGTCATCTAAGAACTGCACAAAGACGGTCTTTATTGTCGCCTCCTCGTCCTGGAAGTGCTCTGCTTAGCGACTTTTGTAACTTGTTCTCTCTTGGTTTTTCTGTCGTTTGGTTTCGTTTCATGTGAGTCCCCGCGCCCCTCCAGAGTCCACCGCACCAGCCTGCAAATGTATGCTGGGGGATTCTGGAGGGGCGCGGGGATTTGGAGGGCGCCCGAGGTTCTTGGCTCGCAATTGGGTGAGGGTTTTCCAGAAGGGAGCGCAGTAGGCGGCGAGTGTTCTGCGGATTCGTATCATGCCCGAGAAGATTGAACTTTGTCCGGATTTTTGCAGTCCTTAGTTGAATTTTCTCCATTATAAATATATAAATAACTAACTATGTTTTTACTAAGTGAAAAGTGTTCTCATTATCATTAACATTATCCAGTTGCTATGTGCTATATGTCATAAATAACATATGACTCATGATCTTGAGTACCGCTGTGATCATAAATAAGAAATGCACTCATGATCACAGTAGTACTCAAGATCATAGTGCTATTAGCTAGAAGTGCTACTGGGTTTTCCGACTGAGAGGTAGAAGCACTACTGGATTGTAACGAAAAAAGGTAGTATCGACGAACCAAGGGAGATCACAGCAGCTAATACAACCTCAAGAAAACCTGAACTTCTTGACTAAGTAACAGTAGTAAGCATTTCTTGGGTGCAAGAACTTCCTAAAAATATGAGTTCACTAAGATTAACTAATACGAGTACACAATTATGAGTACACTCACTACAACCACGATTAGTATGAGTACTACATAACTCACTAGTATGAGTACACCCACTACCACTAGTCTGAGTACACAACTCGTCACGAGTATGAGCGCACTCACTATTGTGAGTACACTTCGTTTTTCCTCCTGTCTCTAGCACTGGAAATGCCCAACCCCCTTAGAACGGCCAAGCCCCATCTTCATAGCACTGGAGGGACTAGTGGAGGACATCTACGCTTTCTTAGGTAAGGCTTCACCATCTAAAAATGGTCCATCTTCTTCTCGATCATCCTGATGCTGTCCTGTCCTCTTCTCCCATAAGGGGGAGGAGAAGACCAAGAAGCACCAGGATGCACCGTTTGGTCTCAAGATGGACCCACATCAACAGGCGTGAGCGCTCCTCCTAACTTAGGAATGCAAAGTATACATCGGCTCTCGTTCGAGAATTTCATGCGCGTGGTGAATGAACGGGTGCACCTAATCATGTGCAAGGAAGCGACTCAACGCTGTCTGAGGAAAAAACTAAGAAAAAATAGCAGTCTTCTTAAATTTTGAAGTAGATGGATCCACATCCAACTGCCATCTGAGTAAAAAACTCAGGAAATATCTCATGATCTTCATCCTTATGCAATTGTACTCCAAGTTGTAGCTTAGTTGTGAAGAAGATGGGTAAGTTCTGGTGGGCCTGGATCTGGTCCTCTTAAATTTTTACTAGGCTATAAAGAGAGCATCAATAGAAACATCAGGGAGAGGGGGCGAGTGTTCAAAAACTATTCTATGATCCTCTACTCTATGAAACTCATTACAGGCGTCTATGTATCTATGTATCATTTTTTTGACCATATAATAGCATTCTACTCATTGCATGCTGCATCTTCTTCTTGCCTTCAAGTCGCCTTGTCACTTAAGTAGTCTAAAAAGTGCTGATATCGCGGACGATAGTAAGGGCAGCGCGTCTGGACCGAGATCGAGAGGCATGATCGGGCCTGGATTTTCCTCTTTACCTGCCGACTTTTGAAGATCTGAGTTGAGGCGTATGCCGAAGGTTGAAGATCATTTGATTTTGCGGCGTATGTAAATATTATATTAAGTGGGCTACAAGAAATTGAAATAATCCATCCTCCCCAGCATCTTGGTGGTCCCGTTTTCCACAGGGACTACACGGAAACCAAGATGAGTCCGATGGTGGATTTCTCTTACCTCTAAGTATAGCGAATACATCTAGGATTCAGTCAAAGAGATTGCTGGGGTAAGCAAGATCACTGAAAAAATTAGTGTCTTTTTTTGTTCAGTCCAGCTATTCTCGTGTACTTAGAAATCTACGGGGGCGAGGGGCAGTATGATGAGCAATATGAATATAAGAGAAGTTTACTTCCTTATCCTTAAGTGAATGTGAAATAGAATTACGACATTGAAAACAACAAGCAACACAAGCATCCTTATTATCACTCGTCCTGGCAGGACACGCACAGAGTTGGCGATGAGACTATCTCTGGCGTTTTTCTTGATATCTCCGTGCGTTCTTCACTCCACAGTAGTACGTGCTTACATCATGACGGCCATAGTGTAAGGCGCGACAACTCCTTTTTTCTCAGACTCACGCTATGCTTAGCATGCTAAGAGAGCAGTGGGGGGAGCGTTTTGAGCGAGAGTGTTTTTTTTGAGCGTTTCTTTTTGTTTTTCCTGGGCAACATTCTTTTCAAGAACTACAGACTTCAGACAATTTTTTATCATATTCATCTTGTAACTAGACTTTTCGTCTTCTTCTCATCTTTCTTGTGGCTCTGGACTTAAATTCTCTTCCCTTGTTCACTTTGACTACGACCGCGTCACTCGTCTGCTGTATCCAACAAGTCTTCGAAGTCTCAAGATAAGCCAGGAAGTAAGTTCCAGCATAGGGCTAAGTTAGTAGCTCCAACAGCACTTCGATCACTTTACTCAGCTATTTCAGTTTTTCGAGTACTCAACATTTTTACCTCATAGCTGCCAACAACAAGTAGAAGCCATGAGAGCCAGCATCTTCTCGATTCTTCTATACCCTTTCGTGAAGGTGGAACAACAAAGGGACCATCAAGAAGGTACGGAGTGGTCAGCTAGAAAATACTCTCATCTTCTGGCTGTAGTAGTTCATCTAGGAGCTTTTGCTTTGTTACGTTTGTGGATTATTTGGCACAAGGTGGATATGGATCTAGCTCTGACATGTGTTTAAACAATTTCCCTAGTTGCTTTGTTACAAGGATAGGATAGGATAGAATCAGAGTAAGTGGGGATAGCAGTAGTTTTAGTTACAACATGGAGATGGATGGTGATTTCATTGTAAGTTGATGCTGATGGAAATAAATCCTACACTGACTACAGAAGAATTGCCGACAATTCGGATGAGCAACCGACTACTACAACAAGCACAAGTAGTCGTGAACAAGAATGAGTATGAGGAAACAAACTAGAGTGAGGTCCTCAGGAAAGACAGCCATTGCCATAGCCATGATGACACGTCCTGCATGATGAGGAAACTAGCTTTCGACCGTTGAAGCAGCGCCCTTGTGTCTCTATTCGGATCACAACTACGGAGCCAGGCACTTACTCGTAGCTGCTACGTGGTTCGAATGAATGGAGACTAGCTTGCAACTGTTGAAAAAATCAACAGTCAGGGCACTCGCACTCCCCTAGTCAACTACGGGGCAGAAAATTCTAGAGTGATGGTGATGCACTTGCGCCACGCCACAGCGTTATTGTCATAACCTGCAAATGGTGGACACTGTGCTACACCCACGGGGCCAACCCAAGCAGTGCAATTGTTTATGAGAGACGTATTAACGTAGTATTTTGAGAGGAAGAAGAGAATGGCATTCGTCCTATGGTGCAGACGAGGGAGAAAATTGAAAATATTTTTATTACTGAGGAGCACGAGGTGTAGTAGCATTAGATTAGGATGATCAAATTGATAAAAGGACTTATCGTCTTCATCTTCTAGACCAACATGGGAGTCTGGGCGCGACCTGTTTGCTGGCGGTGGACCCGTTTTCCGCTTTTGGCTACCTTTCTTGCCGTAAAGCTAAATATTTACATTCTGGCGGAGCTGGGAGCTGGTGGGACCCTATCTTCGGTCGTAGTAGAGTCAAAGAGCGTTCATCCTCATGTTATGTGAACAAAGACATCGGCTACAAAAGGGCTATCGCAAGACTTGGTCATCTCTTTCGTCTGTATGAAAAGAGCTTCTGTCTCTTTCCGTCTACAAAAGAGCTGTCTCAAGAAGAAAGCAGTAAGAATAGTAGAGTGAAGTCAAATTGTCGTGAAGGATCCCAAGTGGGAGGAGAAGCAGAGCACTATTGTTCTGTATCTGTATCTTCATCTGCGAGCTGTGTCTGATCATGACTTGGTGCTGTAGGGAAGCCTCTATTTTCTATCTAGCGCCGTTTGACGAGCTAACGCGCGTCATTCAAGAACAACACTATCGCACTAGAGGAGAAATAATGCGTTAAAAAATACCGGGTCGCTTCTTCCGCTTCGTTTTAGTAGTCCGTTGTCCAAAGTCAAAAATGCTCTGCTCATCTAAAAACTACAACGCGGACTACAGCAAACGAGGAAGAAAAAAGCGAGGAGCTTTACAACCGCGACTGAATCTTACCGAGAGCATGCGGCTTCAAGGGCGTTATGAGAGATGCAACCAGATGGTCAAAGAGTTAACCGAGCAGCTGGTCGGTCCCCTGTATGAATGGATGATATTTTTTCTCCCCTCTAGATCAGACCATGATCGAGGCTTACTTTCCGTCTTTAAGGGAATACCACGTTTTTAGCGAGGGGATGAATGAAGGGATAGCCGTGATGGTCTGCCTAGATGGAATAGACGCCATTCATACCCTGGCCCCAGTAGTTGGAGCAGGTGCGCCCGTAGCCGCGTTTCTGAACCCAAGCTATGGAACCCGCGGCTTTTCGTTTTGTCCATGATCCACTCCTACTATTATAGATATTCATGATAATGATACTAGTACTTAATATTAGAAAAATGTCGTGCAAGAATACATAGTTTGAAAGTCTAACAAGAAATACTAATCAGCTGCTCCATGATATTATATATCGTTTCTTGAAAGATGTACTGACAGCAAAAAGACTAGTTTTGTCGCTTCTGTGTCTTGATTTTTGTTCTTCTGCAAACAGGTCGATACTCAGACTAGATAACTTCTTGATACCACAATTAGACTAAACTACCACGATTAGGGTTAGGCGTCCTTATTGTTAAGATCAAAAATACACAACTTTCAGTAGTAACTAAGTAGTACCAAGGTAAAGTAGAAGTAACTCTAAGTTTAGTACATCAAGAATACGCTTTCAGTAGGTGGAACTTCTTGGGTCACCTGACCTTCATCAAAAATACACTCTCGCTTTCAGTAGGGACTTCAACTAGGCCTGCCTCGAGTAGCTAACTGAAGTAACAGAGTCACTACGTTGCTCGCCTTTCAGTGTCTCGCTTATTTTAAGTAGTTACTTGCTCCGTACTTCAATTGATGTTTATCGAAGGAGTCTATCTTCAGCTTGTTTCGTTTTTCTTCATACAAGTGACCTGCAGAAGCTCTAGTTTATTTAGTTAGTACGATCTTCATCCTTACACATTCGTGTTCGTCTTTCATACAAGTGACCTGCAAAAGCAGGCCTTCGTTCCTATGTGCACGAGGACGGGCGCTCGGACTCGATCGTTCTCGGAGGAGATGGATAAGTGGTGGCTGGCCTTGTTTTCAACTATGGATAATTTTTTTAGTCCCCCATCTACTTTAACAGACCATGATCGAGGCTTCCGCATAGGCTCAGACTGTTTTTCTAAAGATAAAATTTCAATCAAATCAACAGTACCACTTCTCACTTCTAGGCTTCTGCTTTATTGTTGAAGTCCGCTCTGTTTAGTCACCTCAAGTAGTGCGTACTGCTATTAAAGGAAAAGGGGTTGTAGCCTCGATGGTCTGCCTCTAGAGGGGAGAAAAAACGCCATCCATATGAAGGGCAATGTCCCTGCAGCAAAGAGGGGAGTGCGCTCCAGTACCACGACGCCTGCTGCAATTATTGGAGTTACGACCACGTCACTTCTCTAAGAAAGCTGATGTGTTGATTTTTTTGATCTTTTTATTCGACGTCAAACTTGGACTATCATTGTCGGGCGTGCTCCTGCTCGTGTGTAATATCATTTGCGTTTTTACTACTAGAAGTCGTGTGTTGATATGTATACGACTGGATTTACCAATGAGGAATGTCCTACTACTATTTGTGTACAACTACTCTTTCATCTATATCTGTATGTACTTTCTATATCTGTATGTACTTTCATTCTATATCTGTATGTACTTTCTATATCTGTATGTACTTTCTATATCTGCATGTACTTTCTATATCTGGATCATGTAAATTCTTTCGTACTATTTCTGTTGCTGTTGCACTAGATAATACTTTCTAAGGGCTGTTTTTTTGTTGTCGTCGGAGCAGGAGAGGCCGCACGCTTTTAGTGCCTATCCTTGGCAGGGTCGCCAGGAGAGCGAGGTCCTGCGTGCGACACGGCTCTTGCTATGAGGTTTTTTCTCCCAACTGTTGCCAGACGAAGGCCATCGAGGCTGCTGCCCCTTTTCCCCTTGAAAGTGCATAGTACTTAGGTCAAAGGCTCCGAGCCTCGATGGTCTGTTTACCCACCTAGATGGAAGAGAAAAGACAATGTTTTCACCATTCATGCTTGCCAACTAGTTGGGCAGCTCTCGCAGTGGCCGCGCGAACGCATCGATATGCGATTGACGGTCGTCGACGATGGGAGTGGTACCAGGTTCAAGAACAAATGAAGAGCGCGCCACAATCGCAACATTAAGGCAACCCTGATTAGATTATTTACACTTTCAAAAACTTTTTTCACTTGGCCGCAACCCTGATGAATTAGTGCAGTGACATAATGATACATTGTTTAATATCTACTCAAAATCATGAAGATGAAGATACTAGTCACAATATAATATAATTAAGGAGCCACTTATTTCAACTTTTCCGACTTCGAATGGTTGAAAATGAAAACACTTTTTCCAGGAGTCATACTGATGAATCATGACGAAGCACTGTAGTAATTCATTGGATTGAGTTAGCACTAATGAGTTGATACGCGAACAAACCTTGAACAAATAAGCAAGTAAATTTAAGAATAATACTCACTTGCTAAGTATTTTAGATAATCGGTATGCTCGTTTATTTCGAAGTAGTTCCTTGCTTATTTCAGTTTATCGAGTATTTCAATCAATCAATCAAGCAGTCAGTCAAACAATCAAGCAAGCAGCCAATCAATGTAGCAGCTCTAACCGCAGGCAGGTGGAAGGCGGGTTTCTGAGAAATCGTGGCTTCATTATGCACTTTCGAACATGCCAGTCGGAAGCGATGCGATGTTGTATCCCACAGCGGAAAGCCTCTAGTAAGGCCGCACACCCTATCTAGGAAGCATCTTTGGGGATTCAATCAATCTAGGAAGCATCTTTTGCTCAGAGATCAACATCTGACACGAAGGGCGAGAATGTAAGAGGTTCCATGACACGACATGACTCTATTGCTAATATTGCTATAGTCTCAGTCTGACGTGTTAGCTCGAGCTCTCCTTTCTTTTAGGGAGTAGAGCAGAAGACAGTTGGTTGCCAAAGATGCGACTCTCTAGATGGGAATGCAGGTAAGCTCTATCTCTGCGGGCGTTCAAGCAGACGCACAGAGAAGCCTCTCCTGTGGATTAGCTCGCAAATTGCCAAGCTGCTCAACACTGCAGAAAAAAAGGACTTAGTTGTACCAGAAGAAGAAGATCAGGAAACTTCTGATGTAGTCGCGCAAACCGCACCACGACGTGAAGGCGGACATACAGCTGAAGGACATACAACTGAAGAGACCGAACAAATAAGGGTACTGGAGGCAAAAATCGAAGAACTTGGGAACAAAGGCAAAAATCGCGATTTGGAGGAGGACCCGGAAGCTCTGCGAAACTTTGACTTGTTCATGACCGCTTTTTGGGAAAAGTTGAATCGTCTGGAGACTATGGAAAAGGTGTTAAGGCTTGGGCTACATCTTCAGACTGTAGTAATTCTAATTAGAATTACAGTTACAGTTGCATCCTCAACTAAAACTACTATGCTAGCACGGTCTTCCGTAGTACCCGACAGATTGTATGTAGTAATGATCCCCAGGAGATTGTTGTTGTGTTAGATATTACACCCCCAGCCGCAATGCCAACTATACTAGTACTGATGCATCACAGCAGCATGAGTATGTTATTGGGCGGTCTACCCTAGTACCCGACGAATCCCCAACAGACAGGGTGAGGGTGGTGATAGTCGGGCGGTCTACTTCTCTACCCTACGAATGGGTAGTACTTACCCTACTGCTAGTACTCCTTACTAGAACGGCATCCCAGGAATGGTTTTGTATTGCCCCAGATAGTATCGCTGTAGAGCGAGGACTGTGTAGGAGTGAGACGCACTGGCGATGATCTTCTGCACGGAGACGCACTGATGATGTACTGCTGTAACAACTGCGTTGGCTCTAAAAATGCATGCGCGAGTAGCTAAAGTCCTCGACGAGGAGACCCACAAGACGCAAAAGCAGGAATCGCAAAATTAAGGCTTAATACCGTTCAGCTCTACGAGTCGTTTCCCCCTGGTTCCTTCCTAGGATCGGGATAAATGCAGGCAAGAAGTGAATTGTTCTGAGCTCTAACAAGGTCCTGCGTTGAAAGGGGGCCACTTCAGTAGTATTGCTTCGTCAACGCAACATAGCACGACTGCGCTCATGCTTACTGCGACTACGCAGGTCCCTGCCGTGTCTGAAGAAGAAGCGATAAGTAAGAGGGCCTTTGTGCTGGAGTCACCTCCCCCCGTGTCTGGTATTAACCAGGGGAGGACAAATACAGCACGGGAGGTTTTCTCCGTGAAAGCGGTTCCGCTGAAAGCGCAGACCACTGCGAACGAGATAGCCTTTCAGCGACCACGGTCGGAGGCTGAAGACCTTGTCAAGGTTAAGGCAGGCTCCCACTAATTCATTCATCTTGAAGTTTGTATCTTTAGCACGTTTTTGTTTTATTTGAGGGGAGAAAAGGTCAAAGATACACTTCAGGAGGATGAATGTTTGGAAGCTCTAACGAAGAGATGCGTCCGGCAAGTCGCCGGTTCTTACCTCTAACCGACTTCGAGCGGGCTCTGTCATTGAAAGCCCTTCGCTTGTTCGCGAAGTTCACGCGGTCGACGCAGTTGCGAGCGTTTCTCTTCGTCCACGCGGACGACGAGCAGGCGATTGCGCACGATGTCACCCAGGAATTGCTCGCCGCGGTCCCAGGCACAAGGCACGTCCACGACCGCGAGGGCTCCATGGCGCACACGATCCTGCGCGCGTTTTTTAAGGCTTCTCACGTCTAATCCATCTTTTTGAAAGACATCCTGAAGAGTCTGCTCCCCAAGGGGAAAGGGCACACTCCGGGGTGCGCTATCTTGAGATGGAAGATTAGTGCGAGCTCTAAGCTTTCCTACCGGATTGCGGACGTAGCCGCTTGCGTCGAGCTTCTTTGGGCGCACGTGCAGCCCCATGCACTGCCAGGCCTCAAAGCTGCAAACTTCATCACCCGCGAAGGAGGAGGAGACGAGAATGCTCAGCAGCATAGTTATGGCGCTCACCGACTAAGAGCATCATCGAGTTCCCTGATCCTCGGCATAAAAGTTATGCTTATTCAGTAAGTATTTATTAGCATCTACTTACGATTATGTTGGTCAGTGGTCTCTACCTACTCCAGACCTATGAATGAGCCGGATTCGAAATTCCAGGGGCTGCTCTCTCGCCGCCATGACCGTGATCAAGGCCGCTCCTTGTCTTGCTCACTCACTGGCCCCGCGTATGGTCGTTGCGTGAACTCTATGACTTATTGAATGGCTAGCACACCTCCTCCGTTCATTATCTTAGTGCGCTTACTGCTCATGAATTCACATCGTGGGGGTATAGATGATATGGGCCAACAATGGCGCAGCCAATGACTGCGCCGCCATGCACATAAATGGCTGCGAGCAGTTATTAGCATGATCCCCCCAGGTCAGTAGCTACCTACGCCGTGACTTTTCGTGATATGCCACGACATATGCCCCATGTCGGTACCAGCTCACGGCCTTAAACAGTCAGAGGCCACTCCGCGCCTCCGTTCTTGTCGTCTCTCTCTCTGTTCCATTGCATCAGCATCAGCTCCATGCGCTCGCGAGGGCTACGGAGTGCGCCCGGACGTGTTCGGGCGTTCCAACAGATTAGGCCCCTGGGGCCATCATGGTAGTGCAGCTAATAAATTGATGCTTCATCTACTGCTTCCAACTATCAAAAGCTCGCAGTCTTACTGTAGTAAAATTAATGGGCTCAGCCTATTGTCTTAGGTATCGTGGCCGCCTCTTCTAGTAGGGGCGTGGAGCTTTTTGTTCCTCTTCAGTCATGAGGCCAAGGCGTTCGCTTGCAATTCTCGTTATGAGTCTCGTCTTTCTTCTGGATTCCTTCTCACGTCAGTTGTAGTGCCCTTATTTTGTCTCAACACACGCAAAATAGTAAATGAAGGACTCACCACGCAGCTCGTCTTCTAACAGACAGTGAAGGATGAGCTGAACTACGAGGGTAAGAAGCACACGAGAAGTAAAGACTTGGTGGAGTTTCACAGGAGACGCGCAGAACTCCTTTTCAGCGAGAACTTGGGTTAAGGGTTGGAAGTTGGCCTCTCTATAAGCATCCGCATCATGGCTTCTCCAAGTAAGAAAGCCATAGATATGCGAGCTAGAGTGGTCGACTTTCGGTCCCTAATTTGGGAGAGGTAAAGGCCACCGCAGCAGAGGTCGTCGCCGTGCGCGTTCGTATGTTGGACCCCTACCAGCCGATTTGATAAGAAAAACTCTGGAGTTTTCAGGCGGAAAGAGATACAACTACTAAGGCCTCACTTAAACTTAGTCCATCTTGTAGCGTATGTGTAAAAAGCTTTCAAGGCCTCCCTTAATCCATCTTGTTTTAGGTAGCAGGTCATCTTTTGAAGGCTGTTTTCAAGTAGAAAAATGGACGGAGGTTATGGGGCATTAGAATGTGGAAGTTCTAAAACTACACAGCTGCGCGCATCGGTTCACGCACTAGTTATACCGCGAATAGGCGGAAGAGCTTGCTTTTCATTGGTGCGAGCAGTATGGATGAAGATGTTTTTTCTTTCATTTGACAGCCCATCGAGGCTGCCCCGTTTCGTCCCCTTGCAAGTGTATAGCTTCTTAAAGGGGAGCGGCCTCGATGTTAGAAAGGGGGGCCTGCTCGATGGTCTGCATCTAGAGGGGAGAAGGAACGTCATTCATGAGCAGCTTTGCGGAGGGACGTGACGTGGATTACTGTTCTCAGTATCAAAACATCTTACTTGTGGAGCCATTGCCTGACGCCTTCCGCCGTTTGGAGCAGCATATTGGAGTTTATCAAAGAATTAGGAAAGGATTCCTTTCAAAGGAAAAAATGTACTGGCACTCATCCTCAAGAGCACAGGTATTGATGTTCCCTGAGTGGGAAGCAGCCTCTGTTCTTGAGTATGAGTACACTTTTTCCTCTCATAAGAATCTTTGGGCAGTCGTGTCGTCTGCGCGCGGTCTGGGCCGCGGTCACGGATTTGCCCTCGTCCTCTGAAGTAGGTGATGCAGCGTATTCGACGTCAAAGGAACCCGCAGTAGTGTTAAGAGTTGAAACATTATTTCTGAAAAGTTTCATTTCACCCCATGCTCTTCTAACTAGCTTAACATTACTCTGTAAAAATGGAATGTTGTTTCAACCTGTTGTGTGCTCTTCTAGCTTAACATTACTCTCCCCCTGTAAAAATGAAATGGTGGACTTTCACGCGCCTCTGATAATAATAAATAGCTTATATATAAACATTGGGTGTTGATCCGATGATAAGAGAATGATGAATCTAAATAGTTTCGTTTGCTTTTCCTGTCCTGTGATGCTCAAAAATGTCGAAGTGTTGAATTGTTGATCTGGTCTGCTCCCCTGCTGCGTGTCCGAATTTCAATCCTGAATGTGTGCAAAGCTTTGATTTGCTACCTTCCTTTGATCCGATCTTCAGACTGTCAACCTTGAAGTGTCAACCTTTTTTCATGATTGCCAGCATTGCCGTAGGATATTATTATTGTTGTAGCACTGATAGCCATCTTTCTTTTTGTGGTTTTTCTTGATATCCATCATCATTTGTCCGTGCATCTTCTCGCCCACCCTTCTGCTCCGTATTATGTTCTTGTTTCCATCATTATTGTTTACACTTTTTACATCATCGCCTTCTTATTTTGATATCCACCCAAACTTGGCGCATTTCCGAAAAAACTACATCCCACAAGATTTGAGACGCATCTACCCTCATTCGTGTGCTTTCAAAACCCATTTTGGTTTTAGGTTGCAGGAGTAGAACGAAGCGCCCGCCGCTTGTGAGAGATTAAACAAGCCCTTAAAGAGAAAAGTTTGCGTTCGTCTGCAGATTGATTATATATCAACATTGCTCCTAGAGTCTCTATTCCTCAGTCAGTGCGCAATCCTCGTCTAAACGAATTCCTCTAATAATGGACTCCTCTAATAGTGGACATTCTCTAATAGTGGTCTTCCATATGTTGTTTCTCTAATATTGGACTTCCACGCGTTTTCCCACAGTGGACAGAGCAGTAGTCTTTTTGCTATGAGTGAGGATCTCGTTGACGGACGGGCGGAGGCCAAGTATGCGCCGCATTTCGGAGCAAGCCACGAGGTTGGCATTGTTAAGACTCCCTCTGAGGCATTTTATGGGTAGGCTAAAGGTGTCCCTGTTGCCGTTCGTTTTGCCTTTCTGAAGGGGGAAAGGCATCGCGAGCGGGGTGAACGAACTCGAACACCAAGCGCCTACCTCTAAGCATCCTCGCCACCATCCTGCTTGCCCCGCTTTATTCTACTAGAAAATGAAGCCAAGGATCATGGCGTCAGGGATGCAAACGTGGCAGCTCTAACGCTGTCTCTGTTCCTGCGATGACAGGCGCAGAGCTGTTGGAGAAGTATTTGTGGCGTGAGGAACTAGCTCGCATAGCCACGTTGGAGACCAGACTGCGACAAGAGGCTGCTCGACAAGCGAAGACCAACAATAGTAATTCAAATACGGGAAGTAGTATTAATATCGAGGCGACGCTTCAAGTCGTGAACTCTTGGCGCGCAGCCGTGCATCGCCGCAAATTTGACGTGGTGATCGATGCACAGGGCGCTGGCTACGAGGTTTTGATTAAGGCCAATCGAAAACTGGAGATAAGCGAGCTGCTGACTGAAGTACGGGACGTAGCTTTTCAAGGCTACTCTTTGTGCTTCAGTATCTTCGGCTGTTCTTGTCTGTTACTTGCTTGTTTCACTTTATCGAAGTTTCTCTTCAGTTCTCACTATCTTCCCAAACTGTGATTGCGGAGTAAGTGGAATCAACAGTAACGACCGTTCTAAGGTGAGGAGTTTTGATGGCAGAGCGACCTTTGATCGCATTGAGACGCTGAGGGTCGAAGTGGAGTCAGAGCCGGTCTACGACGGTCAGAGTCTTCTTAAGGGCATTCATCTTGTTGTGCATCCTTGAAGCTGAAAAGTATCATGCAAGGTAGAGTATGGTGCTATCTTTGAAAGGAAGGATGGCCGAGCAATATGCTCGTCTCTCGTACTATGTATACTCTTCAACGAGGACACAGCAGGAAGATGAATTGCGGATAGCTCTAATCCTTTCTGGGATGTGGACGACTTACTGGTGCAAGAAATGGGAATGCACTTGCGACACAGCGACCTTGTCCTTGGCGGCGAAGATGCGGCTGGAGGTGATTTGGCGAAGACAATCATGTTGGAGCAGAGCGACTACGAACCTTTTAAGGCTTAATAGCGTCATCATCACATTGATCATTCATTTCCAAAGAATATATAAGAATGGCCATTTTCTTCCGTTTCCTTTCTTGGATTCTGAAGAGATCGGAATAAACTGGAGAAGGGATGAAGCATTTTCATCTTGCGCTGCTCTAAAAATCTCTCATCATCAACAACATCTGTCGGCTTGTTGCGGGACCCGGATACCGGTGAGGCTCGAGCTGACCTGTGCTGCAGTGGAGATGTGCTTTACACGCACTGACGAAGTGGTCATGGCGCGCACTTGGGTATGATGACGCTCTGACGAAGTGGTCATGGCGCTCACTTCCTCTTCTTGTTAAGACTACAAGAAAGCCATCTTCGCAGGCATCTTGGTCGCGTTTTTAATGGGAAAAGGGGCCCCAAGATGCTGCTGAAGATGGGCCTCCCTTAGTTCTAATCTTGGGGTATATTGAAAGTCAAGCACTTGGCACACTGACAGCTGCATGGGAGTACTTCTAAATCCACAGTTAGAAGGAACCAGATGACGCAGGGAAGTCGTAGGTCCGCCGACTAACGTCATCACTTAGTAGATCGACGCTTGTTTTTTTCATCTTCTTGACAACGGAACGCTCGCGATGCTTTTCGTGGTTTCTTCGCCTCATCGTTTCAAAAGGCTCTACGACATATGACCGGGACCATTGCCACTTGACCTTAGGGGACATCTGTGCTTCTTGTGGATGGAGCCGGAAGGTCCTCTTCGAGTTCGTAATCATATTCATATCAACCTTTACGACCTTTGTCCGCTGCACAATTAGACGTGAATAGCCTTTGCGACCTTTGTCGGCTACACAATTAGTAGACGTGAGTGTCCGTGTCATCTTCTTTTGTTCAAGAAAAACAAAAAGTCTACAATTTTTTTGTCTAAGGTTTAGGTGCGTATTAAACGTCGTGAAGGCCTTGCTCAAGGAAGTACCTTTGTCAGCTACACAATTTTTGGCCGTGCTGTATGCAGATTTCTGTGCAACGAGTATTGCATGTGTTCTGATTTAAAATTAAAGATGTCCTCGTCGTCCGTTCGTGTTGGTTCTTATGGCGCGATGTGGGGTGACTCACGTATCGCTTTTCCTCAGCTTCTCGAAAATGGAAATGTGGATTTTCTATTAAGCTACTCGATATAATGTATTGCTATTGCATTGCATAGAAGCTCACTCAACCAGCTAAGTGCGAAAGCTTAGCTTCTAAGGGAGAAAGAAGAGGGGAACTCATACTCACTCAGGGAGACATAGCGTTATAGACGACGAGCTAATTTATTGCCTTTAAGTCTAGTCGCCGATTACCTGGCAGAATTTACTATGGGGATCTTGGCGACGCAAAAGGAGAAAAACAGCGAACAGGGATGGTGTCGGGATTTCGTTTTGCGCGAGATGCGTACGTATCTTCCACGTGTACTGGAGAAGAATTAAGGCTCCTACCTGTTCAATGGATTGACCCTCCTTCGACGTGAGAAGCGTCTAACTATCTTACATCTTGCGACCGTCACCGCCACGCACCATTTCATCGCAAACGGCTTGTTGAAAGGAAAATAGAACTAACACGTGGCCAAAGATGGCCACACTATCGGAGCGTATCTCTACGGCCGGTACTAGGAGCAGTATCATCAGGGATCGACGCACACATGACTTGACTTCAAAGATGACTTCCACGCCCAAGATGGAGTTGATGGGGAAGGTCTAAAATGAAGTCCGTATAGTGGTCAACGCAGGTGGAACGAATCCGCATGGCTGTCGTAGTGCACTATTGGAATTATGCAAGCAGTTGGGTGTCAAATGCAGGATCGGGCTGGTCTTTGGAGATTCCCTCGACACGAACAAGGCGGAAGTTCCGCCAGACACTTATGAAAGGTAGAAAAGCCGCACTCATAGGCAACATACGTATGACAGGAGCAAGAACCGCGCTCATAGTCAGCATACGTATGACAGGAGAAAAAATCCTACTCATACTTGTACCCAACACCAACAAACTAGCTACTGCTAGGATTGAAATAGATCAAGAGGCTGACGTGAGAAAGTAGCTCCGAACTTTGTGACTTGTGCCATGTGCTACGCATGGAATTCAATGCATAAGATGGCCCGCGAATGTTGACGCATGTGCTGACGCTCCTGGATCCTTGCAGCAACGTGAGAGACTTTCACACACATGAGAGACATGCAGAAACCTCGCGAACCTGATAGGTGCGCCACGTTAAAGAAACCCGGGCGGTCAACTTGGCTGATACTTATCGCCACCAACATGCGCAGCCATAGACAGCCGGGGCCGCTCTCCTTTGGCTTTCATGTTTTGACTCTAAAGGACTCCGAAACTATCAAAGCCCACGCAATAAAGGCAGCCACTCCTCGAGTCGCCTGCGTCTACTCTAGAGCCAATGCCTATCGTGTTCCTTTTCAACCCTCAGAAGAGAACTCACGTCAGCGCTATGCGTGCTGAGAAATCAAATGGGTAGCGCAAGTAGCTAGCTAGAACTTTCTGAGTATGTTGAGTATGCGCACACTTTCCAGCCACGTCATGACCACACGAAGCAAGGCCGCGATGTTTCTACTTTCGAGACGCTCTCCGCAAACGTGTACTTTGGAGCTTACCCGATCGCTGCAGCGCTGAATGCGGGATGTGACATCGTCATCACAGGTCGATGCGTCGACTCCGCTTTGGTCTTAGGCTTAAGGCTAGTATTGTTGAAGGATCTTCCCCCGTCGTGCCATCCAGCTCGTGAGCCTCTACTTTTTCAAGGGGGAAAAGAAGTAGAAGGCTCCTCTAAGTCCAAGGATCATATGACTCTCGTCAAGGAAGATGCGACGCGGGTTTTAGCGCTAAGATGTATACTTCTGCATAAGTTCCCCTCATGGAGTGGTGAAAGTCACGGCGAGACTTTGGACAAATTATCTCAGGGCACGCTTGCGGGCCACCTAGTTGTTAAGGCTTTCTCAATACATCGTCCTTTTTCATGTGTTTTTTCATAGATAGGGCTCTGTCTCCAACAACTTCACGTGCAATCTTAAGAAGCATTGCATCTCCGATACGTTTTCAAGAAGGGGAGAACGGTCGCCGGAAGATGGGCTTTGAGGGGATGAGTACATAGTTAGAGGGAAGAGCGAAGTTCTAAAGTTGAGTGCGGTTGTCAAGGAACAGGCGGCCTCAATACTGATTGGGAAGAGAGTGCAGATGCTGGATGGGATAACCCTGGGTATCCCATTGTCGAAGTCCTAGAGGATGGCACGATCTATCTCGAAAAGCCTCCGAATACAGGAGGACTCGTCTCTGCACAAGGCGCGAAGTTATGCTCAGCTTTTATCCATCCGTGCGTTCACGCTTCAGCATCTTCTCGGGACCCTTTTGGTTTCGTATTTTTCCCATTATTAAATTTGAATACAAGGGAAGGGGAAACTAACAAAAGGGGCTGAAATAATTAATATTATGAGGAAACCGAGAGCGAGATCGATAGAGGATAAAAGCTGACTCCAACGAAGGAGCAAATGCTATACGAAGTGCAAGATCCTGGCGCTTACGTAGTCCCAGATGTGGTCTGCGATTGGCGTCACGTTACCATGGCTGAGGAGGCTGCTTCATATTTCTTAAGATGAAAGAACAATCTGCCACTGCCGTTTTGACTTTTGCCCTTCTTGATCCTCAGGGAGAAGAACAATTTCAAGGCATAAGCATAACTACTCACATTATAAGCCGATGCGTGAGGGCGGGGAGGCAGGCAAGCCGTGGCTTAGATGGCGGGTCGGGTGTCTGGCTGTGAACCGCGAGCGGCAAAGGAGGGCGGAGCAAGAGCAAGGCGCCCGAAGGGCGCCCGGCTTACGGAGGCTACGGAAGCGCAACGTCGTGGAGGGTGTGGGAGGTTGATCGCAGGGCGCCCCGCGCGCGCGTGGGGTTCCCAAGGGTCTGCGTGCAGCATTCGGAAGGAGCGGCAACGCCGTGGGGGGAGCAACGCTGGAAAGCGCAGGGCCCCAGAAGGGCGCCCCGCTATTGGAGGTCTGAAAGGTCCACGAATGGCACGAATGGCGGAACAGATTGAAGCCCGAAATTGGATGCCTGCCATTCGGTCCAACCGTTCCATTCGTGCCATGCCAACCGGATTCCGGGACGCTAATAAACTGCTCTGTATAAATGTACTAAAGCACTAAAGTCATACCGCAGGGCAAGAACTAGATAGAACATCTAGAACTACAGTAGGATGAAGCAAGCTATTTTAATTTTTAAGACCAACAGCTAAGCAAACTCAGCGGACACCCTCAGAAGCCTACCGCTAAATCTAGACGCCTACCATCTCTAAATCTAGACGCCTACCACCTCTAAATCGAGATGCCTACCATCTCTAAATCTAGACGCCTACCACCTCTAAATCGAGATGCCTACATCCAAATCTAGATGCCTCCTCTAAATCGAGATGCCTACCACCTCTAAATCTAGATGCCTCCTCTAAATGATCTAGATGCCTACCACCTCTAAATCGACATGCCTACCTCGAAATCTAGATGCCTCCTCTAAATCTAGATGCCTACCTCTAAATCTAGATACCTCCTCTAAATCTAGATGCCTCCTCTGAATCTAGATGCCTTTGCCTACCTCTAAATCTAGATACCTCCTCTAAATCTAGATGCTAGGAATCCTCCAACAGACGCCTACCTCTAAATCGCGATGCTAAGAATCGTGCTTGCAAACGCGTCTGCATCAAAGGCGCAAAAGCATCACAGGTGCCATCAGCGTACAAGGTCTGCTGTATCGCTATCGACAAAAAACTTTTCTCACTTCAATTTCCGTTGTTAATCGTAGGACATGACGCCGCAAAGAAGGCCAGGAAAACTGCGGAGGCGTTGAAATTAAGGCTGGCTTATCACTATCATTTGTGGACCTGGACCACTATGCTGAGTGGAGTCACCTTCGAAGTTAAGTAGCAGGGGAACAACCTAAACCTCAAAAGAGAACAAGTTTAATTCTATATGGGAACAAGTCTAATCTTAAAAGGGAGGAAAGTCAAAGTCTTTTTCTAAGAATATTAAATACTAGTAGAGTACGTACTTGACTATATGATGATGATCTTTGTATAGATTTAGATACAACTTACCTAAGTAGGACTATAGCGAAAAACTTCTACCTCTAATGAAATGTAGGACCGAGCAGATGTTTAACGTCATGGGAACCGGACCCTATCCTGAATGGCATGTCGAGATTCTGGGAGATAATCATTTCTTCCCAATTTATGGCTCACAATAGAATGAATAGCAGGGTTTAGGGCTTCCGCATAAATGATTCTTGGCTTTATTAATTCGTTCTACATCTAGTTGGGAAAAATGCCAGGATCTGAAAAGATGCAGGAGTTAGATTATGACTAAATGAGTTCGCTTATTTACGTTTTTTCCTAGTTAGGTCTGTTCCACCACAAATTTGTAAATAATGTGATCTCTAAGCAGGAGAGCAGTCCCAGTGTACTACGGGTCCATTGGAGGTCGTGTTGAAGATTGGCGCAAAACACGATATGCGAAGTTTGGGCTTGCTCTTGATGGAGGTGGGCAGTTCGGCTGTGAGCATGGCTCCTGGGACTGCAGGGAGTATAGTTAAGCTTGTAAACTTGATCTCTACTGATGACTACTGAGACAAAAAACATGTAAGCAACTATGTATACGAGTGAGATGCTCGAGGACATTCATCGTCCACGTTTTTTGTCGTTACCGCGTACAACTACTGGACGCAATAAATAATACTCGAAGAAGATGATAGACATAGAATGACGATAATGATGAAACAAAGCTCGAAGAACGATTTCCTTCTTCCAATGTGAGTGGCGGAAGACCACGTCCTACGCCAGTGATGCGGATGCAATCGTTTCTGTTGGAAAAGTCAAAGGGTCCTAAGCCACGCGTCGAAGTGGATGGCATAGAACTTCTTGATGATCCAACAAATATTACTTTTGCAGGGACTACAAGAAGAAATAGAAATTATACTTCTCCAATTAAAAGAGTAATTGCAACAAAGAGTAGTACCACTGATCATGAAGGAGCAAGTGGATATCATGGGAGTAGTACGAGCAGAAGTGGTGTATTGATAAATCCTGTTCTTCCTGCCTCGTCCGCATCAAGAAAGTGTTCCACACTTCTCACATGGTGCACTGGCCGAAGTGGTGACAAGGGAGATGTTGCTAATATCGGCATCATCTGCCGGGACCCAAGGGATTACGGACATCTTCTCCGCTGTGTCACAGCAGACCGCGTAAAAGCCTATTTCGGGAACGTCTGTGGAATAGTTTCACGATTTGAGGTCCCTGGAATAGCTGCTGTAAACTTCTTACTCGAGGACGCGAATGGAGGAGGAGGCCTGAGCAGTCTCAGAAGCGACCCTCTATTAAGGCTGCTGACGTCGAAGGCTGCTGCTGCTCACGTCGATAATTATTGGTTCATCTTATACAGACTTTGATTGTTTATCTTGTTCGTTCTTCACTACAACAGGAGCACCCACACTGCTCTGCTTTCCCGACCTTTTTTATCTCCGAAGAGAAGATAATGATAAGCGTAGAAGATCGATAAATCATAATCATTTTGTTTTGTGCGCCACAGGTTTGCTTAATCTTTTAGATTCAATTTCTAGGAAAAGAAATAATTATAGAATGTCCCAGCCCACCGGTAGTAACGTCTCGTCTCTAACTCTAGCCAAAACTTATGCCCAGAGGCTCCTGCGGATGAAAACGGAGTCGCCACCAACATCCAAATTATAGCGCAGATGATGATGACGCGAAGCAAAATGGTGCCACAGGAAGTACACGAAGTCGGTCTACTTCTACTTGTTGTAGTACTTCCAAGTGTAAAAGAAATTCTTGATGAGTCACTAAATGGAAATTTACGCACAGCACTCAAGGAAGAGTCTTCTCGATGTAAGTAGGCAGTCCCAGTCTAGTACGTGATGAGGATGACCTCTAAGAGATGGAGACGATGTAGCCCGAAGCATCTACGTCAAACAGAGCGGTTTTTATATATTGCAAGATAAAAAAGATATCGCCGAGCTTCATCTGCGGTCGTGATGTTGGCTCTCGTTCATCAGACAGGTTTTTAAGTAGGCCACTCGCGCGAGTGGAGGTCTGCAGCAAAATGAAGATGTTCGTCGCTAGGTGGCAAGAGAATCCACTGAGTTGATCTCCCTGTGAGTGTCTCCCTGTGTTCAAAAGTTTAGGTTGTCTAGCCGAGCCTTCATATTGTAGATTGTGTAGTGTATGGCTGAATAGAAATATTTATTAAGAGTTGTTGCAGAACAAGTCTTGACATCAACATGGTCGCCGTTGACACGACCACAAGAGGCGAAAACCTCATGGAGCCTGGAGGAGCTTGGCCGGAGGTTCCATCCTCAGAGGAGATCGGGAAACTATTGTTAAGGCTTTTGAGAGTTGCTCATTGGGCTCCGTTGCTCTGCGTAAGAATTCCTTCAAACTTGACCAGGGAGGGTTAGGCATGAAGTGCATGATCATGTTGCCCGTGACTGGTCTGCTCACTGGTCAGCGTCACTGAGTCTCAGGGAGTCAATGGTTTAAATTTTGAGACATAAGAGAGTACTTAGTCAAAGAGTACTAACTTGGCTAGGCACAGTTTGAGACGAGGACAAGGGAAAAACGAAAGGAAACGGTGAGAGACTTCCTTGCATGAGGTCCTTTGTTCCGAACAGCTTTAATATTGGCGCCATCTGGTACCCTGAGAGTCGGTTTAAACCTTGCGAATAAACTTCTAGTGACGAGTTCCACAAGGACAGGTGGTACAGGTATGGCCCTTTTACTTTTCCAAAGCAGAGAACTACAGACACGGGGTTATCAATAGGCGTTTTATTTTTGACAGAACGAAAGTCTTCTTCGTTCTGCTTCAAAAAAAAAGCATCTACAAACACAAAGTACTTGCCATCAGGTTTGCTGCTCTAGTAAGCAAGTACTTCTAAGTACCCGACTGAGTAATGGCACTAACTACGTGCTAAGTAATGACCTGCTAAGTAAGTACCTAGCACTTGTTCATCTAAGCAGGCGGAATTTAGTGGCGTGGCACCTGCCTTGGGGTTACAGCTGGCGGACGAATTAGGCGTGGCCATTCGCTTAGTGCCGTACGAGTCTCCGGGCGCTGTCTCAGACGATATCGATGGCGATAATTATGTGCACCATGGTCAACTACCCATCTTCTTCTAGTTTTACGCCATCTTTTGGCCGGTTTCTCTTTCTTGTTCTTGGAACAAGTAAAGACGAGAAAGATGCCGTAAAATTAGCAAATGGGCTATCGGTACATCTAAGATAAGTTTGATCTTTGTTTTTTGGGCTCGGATCCCACACGGGCGCGGAAAATCGCTTTTTCAACCCCATATGCCGAGATACCTGCTACATTTCTCGTACCAGAGGAGGCGGACGTCGGGACAGCTTTAGACTTAAGGCTTACAACACTCCTCTTTTCAAGGGAAAGCAAGAAATTCTGACTGTTCAAGGATATTCACAAGCCGCCTCCACGAGGTCGTGTTTAAGGAAAAAGAGAAATGTTGCCCAAGGATATTTATAAATATATGTTGCAGGGAGGGAGGTCCTCCCCCTGTGGTATGGTCGGTGGTGCCTCAAGAATATCATATTGGCCCCGAGGATGTTATAACTATGGCGCTGGCGACACGGTACAGCTCTAATAGCCGTGCTCTCAAAGAAGCCGAGCGTTCGGATTGCTTCCTTCAAGAACAGCTGCTACGATCTCTGGTTGCAGCGTCACATGTCCTCTACGAGCAGCAGCAACCCCGATGACATTATGGGAAAGGATCAGGGTGGAACAGTGGATCATTTGGGTCGCAGTGGATCATTTAGGGATGAATAAGATACAAAAAATTCTAATATGTCGTGAGTGTGTTCTTGAGTTGTGAATTACGGACTTCAATTTAACTCGTAATCATGACTACGAAATTCAAAGCGTTCAAACAATCTCAAACTCAAAGTACGAGAATGATGTGAGCTTTTATACTGCACCAATAAAGTTAGTACATGCTGACTCTCATTAAAGAGGAGATAAGCTTTATCTTTAATACTGCACCAAAGTTGGCACATGCTGACTCTTTTGACATAAGCGTTGGCACATGCCGACTCTAATGCTGCACCAAAGTTGGTACATGCCGACTCTTTTGAGATGAGCGTGGAATTGATGAAGGACGATCGAGCAGACGCTGTGGCGGGAGTGTATGGCCTCCTTGCTAAGGTTAAGGCTGGTGTAAAAGTATCGCCATCTTCTCAGTAATACCAGCAGTTTAGGATGACTAATTACTTGCAACGCGAGTGAATTAATCATGAGTAGAGCAGGACTATGCTGATACTGAGTGAAGTCGCCCTGCTTGATTTTCTAGTCGGTGTTAGAGGGGAATCATGAACTTCATGGCAGTCTGCACTGAACTTTGTGCGAGATTTACTGCATTGCATTGCATTGACCGGAAAACGGGCAACTCGCTCATTATACTCAACCACTTATCCGATACAGTGAAAAACTACCTTTAACAAGGAAGCGGGGAAGAGTGCAAGCGATAATGCTGGTGGACGAGCTTATAAGATACTCGATGGATCCTTCATGACAGTACCGCAAGCGATTGGCGTTCCAGTTTCGAAGCACAGACAATTGCCAAGAATTATTCGCTATCTGAATGCTTTTGTCAACAAACGAATCCAACATTATGCTCAGTCTTTTAATATAAATATATCCATCTCTCATCTCTGTGTCTTCCCTTGCTACCCTTCTGGCTTGTATTCTTTTCTCTGTATAATATTCTTCACCTGAGACAGATACAAGGGGATGAACAGAGGAGCTAAAAAGATGAGGGGGTCGAGAAGATGAATAAAGAAGGCCGACGCTAACAACAAGTCGACGAGAGGGAAAGGAGTGGCGAGATGTCAATCACGAAACACCTGATGGCAGAATTGGGCGTCTTGGGTCCACTTCTACCAGCGACACCAAGCCTACCTCCGTTGAGAATTACTTATGCCTCAAGCCTTTACTCGCATGCTTATTAGTAGAGTTCAAATTCATTGAATACGACTACGAGATATTAAACAAGTAACTTTATTTTATGCCGAACTATCAAGTTGTAAAAAGTACATCTGATACATAGTACTAGTTGTCTATTGCATGCTTCTTCGATTATGAAGACGAGAAGCGCTTGAAGCGATAGCGAAGGTTTGCTTCTCGTTAGAACAACGCTGATGTTTAATATGAGCGTAATAGCAATGTTGACTGCATCCTTTTGTTGTTATTTTTAGTGCTCTTCTTCAAGAAGCCATCCTTGTTGTCTAAATCCTTGTTCTGGGTTGTGGTGCGATGGGCAGCATCTATGCGGCATTGCTAGCATCAGCTGGCAATGTTGTTTCCGCGGCAGACGTGTGGTCGGGACACGTCGCGCAGATGACCTCTGACGGTCTCATATGAAAGGAAAAAGTGTACTCATATACATCTTCAAAGAAATAAAGGTGTACTCATACAACTCAAGGAAATTAGCTAAGTCATACTGGAGCTACATTCGTAATTTGATTGAAATCTGGCTAGAGTACGCTACAACCTTCTGTGGTCATACCTGAAAGTGGAAGGCGCTAGCGGTTCTCGGCAAGTTTTTTTGGAGAATGCAGTAGAAGATGCTCTAGAGGGAATAAAGGAGCCACAAGACCTAGTCATTATTGCTACGAAAGCAGCACAGGTTGCCGATGCCGTTCGAACAGGTTGGAAACTCATACGGGGTGGAGAGGACCACGCGCAGAGCAAAGATATGGATTTGAAGTGCTTGTGCTGCGAGTGACTACTACTAACTAGAAGAGTGACTACGTACTAACTTATATGCAGCCTCTTAGTTACTTTTTTCAACAGAACAATGAACCTGATCGATTTCCTTCAACTTCATCAAAATTTGAGCAAACTAGACTTCTTTCGACTGCACCCTTGACAGGGGTCACTCGTTGACTCGATGCATGTCGTTTATACTACAGGAAGAAAAAACTAGTAGATTGCTTGACTTGACGTCAGGAGAATCAAACTAGTTTTAAACTACATTCATACCTGACGCCTGCTTGCTGTTGATACAGAATGGCATCGGAACCACGAAGGGGGGGGTCGAGGAGATCTTAGGTTCTATTACCTTAATCTTAGGCTCATCTTCTACTTCATGAATATGATTCAGGCTAAGCTTTCTTCTTGTTCTTCTTCTTCTTCTTCTTCCAGCTGATGGCTATCAAATAAGTGCGACATGATATGACATTGACCAGCAGCCTCTAGCTCGTACTGATTTTGCTCTTTCTTTCTTAGTTAGGGCTGTGCAACAATGATCAAATTAATAGAAGCAAAACAGGCTTGGACACTTTTCACTACATGAGATACGCATAGTTGTACTCGTCCTCTAGGCAACAAAATGCTCTACTTCGAGTGCTAGTAGTCTACAAAGCAATGCTCCTCTATTAGATTGCACTTGACTGCTTAGATATGTTCCAGGGGTGAAGGCCTCCCCCATGTGGATGGAGCGGCGGTGGCGTCCGCGCGCCCGTTTTTTCGCGGTGGTGATATGTGAGGACTCCTGGGGGCGACGGCCTCAAGAGGCGGAGCCGGAGGCCCCTGGCGGCTCTTCGCGTGTACCCCACAGGCGTCCTGACTCTTGGACCCCATCAGGTAGACGGCCTCGGGGGGAAAAAGGCCGCCGGAGGCGGCCACCGTCGCGAGGCTTGGCCCCTTTGGCGCTCATCCCCCCAATTGGTGGCAGCGTCCGCCGCCAACAAACGCCCGGGAGGTAGACGTAGAGGACCAAAGACGAGGAGGATTGGGGGCAAGGCGTGCCCGCCTGGGTTCTGTCGGATACATCATGCAGCACGGCGAAAGGGGTCAAGCCTTGCCACCTGCTGCCCTCGGAGGCCTTCCGCCTCCCAAGAAACTCCCCCGGTGAGAAGCCCGCGCGCGGGAGGTCTGCAGGGTACATGCGCCACGGCGTGGGAGGTCTGCCGTGTACATGCAACACGGCAAGGGGGTCAAGCCGTGCCGCCTTCGGAAGCCTTCCACCCCCGGCCGCCGGTGCTTGGACGGCCTCGGGGGCTTAGGTTCTGTAGGGTACAGGCAAGGAGCCGCGAGGCCGCGAAGGTGGGCGCTTGGAGCCCTTTCTGCCCGGCGGTGCCTCGAGAAAATGGGTCGAAGGCTGGAGGCCCCTCCCCTCAAAAATTTAGAGCGGTGGGGCCTTGGCCCCTGACCCCTGGAACATATATCATTATTATACTTACATAGCGCCGCGGGAACCGAGCACAGCCCTGAGGCATGCACAGGCGTCGGCCGCCTTAGATGAGAAGACCTCCATGGCTGTTGGACGACATCAAGCGGCGCCTAGAATAAACGGATCCTAAACTAAATAGCCGCTAGACTGAAACTTTTACCTATAGTTTTGTACCTTCACTTTCTGTTATTTTTTTCGGTCTTTTCCTAGTTAGGTTGGCTCCACCACTATTTATTATTACTTTATCTATTTTCTATTGCTGCTCATCCATTCGGGCTTCTACGTGTATAATTTATAAAACAAGAACCCTTGCCAGGTCCTGACGGGCCGTCGAGAATACTTCTCGGTATAGCATCCAACTTCGGTGCATGCATGAAAGGACCTGGGCACGCAGAGCACAAGAGCATGAACCTCATCTGCATGTTAAGGCTAGTTCTTCACTATTATCTATCATATGCGAGTACTTCTAAATCCACATTATCACATCATGTGGCTTATGCTGAGTAAGGTCGTGCGCCTTGGATTGATCTTCAAGTACAGGGTTAGTAGTGATGTTCCAATCTTCATTAAACGTGAAAATGGGGAGAAAAAGGGCAAGTGACTCAACTAAGTACGCATAGTGAAAAACTAGCGTTAAGCATGGGGGAAATGGATTCCTCTACTCGGTCAAGCAGACTAGAGAGAATAGCGTCAGCGTGGTCTCAGGCTGGTTTTACGACCAAGGCTTCCGACAACATTCACCGAGACGTGTGGGACAAGCTCATATGCAATTGCGCCTTTTCTTATGAATGTTTGCTGGAATGAAGATGATAGAAGACTCAAAGAACTCATTTGCAGATGGAATGATTGCAAAGCGAAGTAGAGCTAGAGTTATTTGGTTGTAAATGTAAACTGACAAGAGCAATGGCTAGTATATGTACAAAAGTATTTCCTCAGTTAGAAGGAGTAGTTTTTCAAGCAAATAGTCCTCCTATAATGAAAAAATCTAATTAACGGCTTCCAGTGCAGTGCTAGGCTTTACAGTGGGGCAAATCCTGGATTGCCATCAAAGTCGTAATCTCGCTCTCAGCTGTGCCAAGGAAGCTGCGTGCGTGGCGCGAGCAAAAGGACTCGAACTTTCCTGTGGAGATACATTAAGCGGAAGAGATACTGATACAGCCTTTATTGTTTGAAGAAAGTTTAAGCTTGTGGATGTGGTGCCTTAAGCTGAAGGGAAAGGAGCACTTGCTGAATGGCAACATTTGTTGATGAATGGGGGATCGGACTGATGGGGTAGCCTTGTAGAACTAGGTTTTTGCTCTTGGTAAAGTGTCAAACTATTTTTACCTCAAGTCGAGCTCGGGGAGCTATTATCATTATCTAAGTAGATGAAGTTGGTGTTGGGTCCAGGAAGGCTGCGAGACCTCTATACCATTAGTGACAATGGGCCACGAGGTAACATGACATGACGTGACTCTAAAGATAGATGAAGATGTGGAAGCATATGTCCTCAAATTTGGAGGGACAGTGCGCGCCGCACAGCCTAGTATGCTGCAGGATCACCTAGCGAAACGCAAATGCGAAATAATGGCGATAAATGTTATGGGGATGATTTACCCTAGTGACTGTTTATTAGATACTAACTAACAATTTGAGCTGAGATAGATCCAGGGGCAATGAATCGTAAAGAAACAGCACTTGCAGTCCCGAGGTTCGCGTTCCCTGCTGAATCCCATCGATTGAATGCTCATTGACTTCCGTAGAGACACGCATAGAGTCTAAAGATAGCGCAATCCCAAGGGAGGCTGCGAAGGTGGGGCTCGGTGCGCCGACGAATAGGATTCTGTTAAGACTGACCATAATTCTTGTAATTGTGTACTACTAGACACAATATCATAATTGTAACTAATAGGGTTCATCTAGTATTGAGGCTGATGATAATTCATCTCCTTCTCCACAGACTCGCAACAAAACGCAGCACAAATCTTGCACTTACTATCTGTATCTTCACAGATGAGTACAGGTGTGTTAGTTATTGCGTGGAGCTCTAATTCTAGCGGATCTTGTGTTAGCCAGGGAGAGCGCCTTCTAAGGGCGGGCGCCTTCTAAGGACGAGTGCCTTCTCAGGGAGTGCGAGTTGAGGCAGAATGGAATCGCCAACCAAGTACAAAAAAAGAAGATGAAGATGAGTCGAGAACTCTTTTTTGACTTTTATTTATTATACCTCTTGGACGATAACTTTTGATGACCCTTTAAGACGGGTTTCTCTTGGACTGCATGGCCATAAGATCAAAGGACAACTGGGGGTAGACAACTTTATATATAACATTATTTATTTTGTCCCTGTCGGTGTCGTGTGTAATCCCCCGTAGAGAACGTCGAGAAATGAAATAACTAATACGTCGTCGGCGAGGAGATCGTGTTGAATATTTTTCTTTGCTAACACCGTAATTTCCTTATCAACGACAAACCAAGACGTGACTATAAATCTCACTAAAAGAAGCAGATCATAAAGTAACAAAGTAAAAGACCTGATCGTGAACTACAAGTAGAACGAGGAACTATTTTAGTATGAACAAGAGGAACCATTTTAGGATGAGCAACAGGAACTTACAAAGATGTAACCGTGATGATCGTGCTGACGCTGAGCTCTCTCTCTATTTGAAGCTGAACAACAGGCACTTTTTGTTTTTCTGTGACCTTCTTCTGTAGACACACAGACATGGCAGACTACCACGACTGTAACAGGAGTTGTCCTCATCTCTTGACTCGAAGGCCCATTCCTGGCAAAACTGGCGAGTTACGCATCCCATTGACGGAATATCGGTTGCCTTCCACGTACATGTTCTTATTGCGAGGAATATAGACCCAGGTCCCAAAAAAATTTGGGGGGGTAGCGTGACTGAATGAGTGAATGACTCCCGTCGAAAGAGAAGACCTCGCGTTCCCAATGATAAACTGGGTTTGGAGGACTACAGGCAAAATTGTCCTAGCTACGTTACATTGTAGCATGGTCCGCAACATGTTAGTCCTTTGTTTCATTTTCAAACTCAAATTGAGAAACTTCTAGGTATAACTAACATAAAGCGCCACGACGACTTCTTGGGAGGATTGTATAATTTCTCAATCGGGCATGGAGTAACAATATACTTACCTCTTGTTAGGCACATTCATTCATTCATTCATTACGATTACCTTGAGTTGCTACGTGGTTCGAATGAATGAATAGACCAAAAAATCAGTGTAGTATAAATCAGTCGTAATGATCTTCTCAGAAATGATTTATTTTCATACTCAGAAAGAAGAATCTTATCGGACGAAGGTGAGTAGATCGATGTGGTGAAGGCTGTCCCATGTCCTCTCCCAACATCCGTGGTCCGTGCGCCAACATGGATTGCTAGCTAATGAAGTACTCCGTGGAGCCGCTTTAGTTCTTCTGGTATGCAGAGTCGCTTTAGTTCTTCTGGCACGAAGACTCGCTTTAGTTCTTCTGGTATGGTATGCAGAGTCGCTTGAGCTCCGGCGCGACGGGTCGTCTCTGGCATGAGGAGTCGCTTTAGCTCTGGCGTGACGAGTCGTCTCTGGCCTGAGGAGTCGCATTAGCTCGATCCACACAACAAAGAACGATAAGTCTTGCACTGACAACTCCTAGATGTGCAATTATTGTTATAATGGACCACGAGCACGAGCGGCCTCGTGGCATAAGTGACAGAACTAGTAGGGGAGAAGGAGAGCAACACGACAGGAAAATGCGTTGCAGCTTCACCATCCATGACCGACCACTGCTCTTTAAAAAGCGTTGATGTTCTTGATGTGGAACGCGATATTGAAACACCAACAAGGAGTAGTGCATCTTCAATGCAATTGCAAATCTTATCATCTTCTTAATGACGACCGAGGACCACGGGCGTTGCCGCTGCAACAAAAATGTCGGGACACGATGAGAATTTTCACCGAGTAGAACAATTTACCACGTCAATAAAAGTAAAAGCACAGTTGTCTTAAGGCGTCCGAGAATCTCCCATTTTGAAAAGCGCCTTGGGCCACCCTCCTCTCTAAGGTTGGAAAAACAGAGGACCCAAGGTGACTCTCAGGATCCATTCCGGGAAGATCTAATCGTCGTTGCGACATGAGGAATTGGAATATTCTCCACAGAGAACACCTCAGCAGCGACTTGATCGTCGCCGTCCGTCCAAAGAAGATCAAGATACCCTAAGCCCAGCATTATCGTCCTCTAGAAGGTCAGCGCCATCTTCTCGAGAAAGGTCAGGAACGCATGACGAAGATGAAGCACCGCTCATCTTCTCAAAAAGAAAAAAAAAGAAGAAGAAAAGTGCTCTGTCTTCGAACATGGAGGCACCAGGTCGAAGCGTAGAGAGCACGTCGACAACCGCAGAAGGAGCTTCTTCTGATCCATCGGACAAGAGCTGCTACGGCGCAGGAGGAACTTTTCCTGCAGCACCTAATAGGAGCCCTGCTGCGCCGAACGCCAATTCAATCCTTAAACTTATGAAGAGTATGCAGCACCTGTATCATGCCCGCATACTTAGTTGCATTTATTCAGGAATTCGATTGTTGTTGTTCCTGATCCTGACTCGAATTTTCACGAAATCATAATTGAAATGTTGATGAGAACTTCCTTGACGTGGTTGGCAAGAAAATAAGAGTAGGACTAGGAGTGTCAAGGATCAATGGGTGTGCGGTTATATATTAGCACTAAAAGCTCAACTGATTGCAATGGCGACGAGTTGTTCCACAATGTCCACGACGCCATATTCAACGACCCAACCAAGGACAAGCAAACTTGTTAGGGCTACGAGTACAGTCGAAAGAACAACCGCTATCTATCGGGTTTTTTTATCACTCAGAAATGCGATTTCTTCTACACATGAATAAAAATGTTGAGGAATGAGGAGAGGGAGCCTTCAGTCGATAGCGAAAGTCTTCACCTGGTAACCATGAATGTCTTTCCCCCTAGTATAACCATGGAACGTCCTTCCCCCATGACCAAGAGCAAAGGGAACCGAGCACCCACCTATGCCTCCACTCGTTTAGTTGTCAGAGTGAGGCCGTATTTTACTATGTTTATATAACAGAGTAGTTTATAGCACGCATGGTGCATGGAGTAGCATGGAGTGCATGGAGCGCAGAGCTTTAAGGGGCGCAAGAAGCTTCCCCCTTAGCTCCATGCTACTCCATGTGACCCATGCACTCCATGCCATGCGAGCTGTGAAACCTTATAAATTGCTCTGATATACTTAAGTAGTTGTAGCACCACATTGATTTGATGCTCTAAAACTTTTCTCGAGGACGATTGGCGATCGCGATTCTGTTCACACTTGCGGCACTTCTGGGACTCCTGTGCTACGCCGATGTTTATGAATGCAGCGTATAGCCATCGTCTTCGTCTTGAGTCTATCACGCCATTGATTTTCTTTTTCCATGAAATTGAGTGAGATCGAGCAGAGCAGTCGATCTTAAGCAACTTCTGAAGGAGTACGGGTACGAGTAGTAGACGAAGGTGAAGAAACTTTATCACTTTCTGCGTGGAACACTAGACGCTTCAGTCCGACAAACGTCAGCAAGGACTAGCACTGATTAAGGCCTTTTTACGTCTCAACCATCCTAAGCAAGGAGACTCTCACTTTTCTGTATATCATCTACCTAGCATTCGTAATTAGGGCTCTACCACAAGAAGTTGCCCGATGTCTACCACTATCATCGATCTGTGGACGGGGAGAAGGGTCCGATAGTCCATCTATCTTGAGGTGGATACGCAACATTCCGGATGCAGGAGCACTGTTTTTCTGTCGACTAGTTCGGCTACCGGGTAGAACTCGTCAGGGAAATCTTTGTCTTAGGCAATCCGCCGAATAGATTCACCACGTCATCAGTTCAACTACTTAACATCCTTAAAGGATCGGCCCTTAGGAGAAGCTTTGTCTCCACGACTTTGTGCCCTAGACTCCAAAAGACGCCGCACCAAAAGACGTCGTAGCAAGACACTCTTAACGTAAACATTATTTATTGTACCTGTCGCATGCATCTTCGCATATGACCTACTCTCGACAACATTGACTACTACTTATACTCTGCTGACCTTAAGCAATGGGCTAAATGGGTACTACTAACTTGACACTGTGCCTCCTGTCGAGTCGCCAGCTCTTGACCGCTACCAATACTCTAAAAATAGAAGGAGCTGGATTTCGTTTGGGAAGCTGAAAGACAGAGAAGGAGAGTGAACATATCTCGATCGACCTCTTTTACTCAGCGCTTCGCAAAGGGTTAAGGGTCACGCTTTTACACGACAGTAGAATCTTTAGAGAAGTTCTGGTTACTGATCCTATACAATGCTGGTTACTCATTCTATACAGCAACTGTTTTAGTCTCATCGGGGATCCTTCTCTTCTACACTGTTTAGTTTCATTCTTGGAGGTACACCAACTGTTTTGTTAGTTTTTAAACACGACTCTTCATCTTCTAATTTCGCGCAGAAGACTCGAGTGAACCGCCAACCTGTTGCGGACGTTAAGGCATATATTGTGATGTATTAGGTGTCTACTTGTGGCTCGAAAAGTGTTTTTGTCCTATCCAGCGGTTGTATGCCATAATATACAACAACGAACTCGCACTGCAATTCTTGTAAGTAATTACAAAGAAGATTAAGATTTTCTAGTTGTTTCGTCTTGTAGATGACCAAGCACAGCCATTTGGGACGCAGTGATTTAGTGCTAATGCATGAAAATAGAGGTAAATTTAGGGATTAGTTACAAAGCAGAAGTAGAGTGTACATGTGCAATCAAATGAAATAATCAAATTAAGTAGACAAGGCCGCTGACAGTTCAGGAACATTGACGACGATGCACTATGATGATCATAGACAGTTTAATATGCGTTCTTTTATTCACGTGAGTGCTCGCCTCTTCGTAGGCGAGCCTACTCCTGTCCAATGCTATCCTATTCTATCCTAGCCTGCACTATGATGATAGACAGCACCATGTTACTAGAGACGCACTGATCGTCATTACTCTACCAGATAGATCTTTTGTTTTTAAGATCCTAGTATTCGTCCTTTATTTCAATCTCATTTGATTTTTACGGATCATATTAGAAACTGAATAAAGGACGCAAGAGCGTGATCTTCTTTAAGGCAAAGACTGTGCTCAAGATCATGAACAGAGCAACGAACTGCTGGGATATTGCAACGACGATGACAATGGATCCGCCGGCGTGGTGTCTATCGGTACCTACGTATAATAATTATAGTAAATTAATTAACTGTCAAAGTAGTATTAGAACTGTCGCAGTTTAGTTATCTAGTTTAGTCTTAGCCCCCCTTTCCTTTCTCTCAGAACAAAGTAGAACACTGAAAGCCTAGCAAGCTAGACCCGCAGGGGAGTCAAGTAGGAAACAGCACCCCGCTCGCTATGCCTGCGAAGGTTGGAGCAGGTCCATGCAGTTGGCTGATTCTCGTGCGGTTTCAAAGTATGCCAGCCCATTCCGATGGCTACCGCGCTACTGCCACGCCAGGGGCCTCGGTGCTGATCTCGGTCCCTGTGCCATGCCACTCCCATCTTGATCTTCCTAGTGGTGACCTTAGTGGTGTGGGCTTTCTCATTGGTGTGATTCTGATCCTGTGGCCCATGTGGCTCTTGATCCTTATCGTGACCAAGTGGCTACGATTCCAGTAAGCTCATGGCTGAGAGCCGTGGGCATCTTGATGCTGATCCGTTCGCTACCATTCTGCCCGACACTTTCCAACCATTGTAGGGCATTAATCTTTTAACGCCGCCCATACATAGGAAAGCAATGATAAAACAAAAACGGCGCCTCTTTGTATAGTGAAAACTATACTCGCACTTTTCTGCAGAAGCTACATGCTCTGAGTTCTAGGCTCAGAAAGATTTTGTTTGTATGTTTGCGAAGATATCAAGTTTTTTGGTATTCCTCGGTCCACCTCATTATAATAAACTACTTAAATTAAAAATAGTAGATTACTTTTACTTACAACTGTCGACTTGTTGTGTATCCGCAGCCACCTGCGCTTTTTTCCCTTGGAAAGAAACCAAACTTCTAACATGGACTGAGTGCTCGCGCTCCTCTTTGTGCCCTAGGTAGTTTGATTGATAAGTGAACAGGCCAACGCCTAAACCACTAAGCCAACTGCGCAGTTGGCTTGGTGGTTTAGGCGTTGGCCTGTTAACTTATCCCTCTTGCTTCTATTATAGTAGATTACAAGTACAACATGCAACTGTCTACTTGTTGTATATCCGTGCAAGTATAAAAATTATAGCACAATTTATAGAACGGACGTAGGGTGGGCTTGGATGGATCGGATGGACGCCCCTAAATCTTCGGGTCCTCCTTAAAATGATGAGCGGACCGGGGAAGTCCATCCGATCCATCCCATCCTGAATCAGGCACCCCTAGAAAGTGTTCTACTATAATCATAGCAGCTAGATTAGAAGCGCCCCTCTTCTCTCTCTCAAGCCTTAGGCATTCTGGGACCTATCTCGCGCTCTACTGGCTATGATAGTGGATTAGTCAGTGTCTACTTCTTGTTGAGGCTACTCTTCTGTGGGCGATCTTGTCACGTTGATTCGTCCTGCGTGTCTTCAAAGATTATACGCAAAAAATAGTTAGATGAAGATTAAGTACAGCGGTGCAATATAATAGAGTTCCCACAAAGTCTACACAGAACTAGTGTGCGGGATTTACTGTATTGCGCCGTTCTTAAGGCTTCTCCCAGTCCATCTTCAGAGACGGCATCCTAGGGGTCGAGAGGCTTTTCAAGGGAAGAAAGGTCTCAGGAAGATCTTCAGGATGGATTCAAGTGAGCTCTACCTCTAGCGTTGATGTACGTGAACTTGTTAAATACTGCTGAGAAGATCTAGTTCTAGCAGCAGTTGAGATCAAATACTCCCTATCTACCCAGACAGTGGCTACAGCCTTAATATTAGGTCAATTGAAGACGCCACCATTGCCAGGCAATCACACTAGACGTACTTATATAGAACCACTCAAAACTTAAACTACACGCTACTCCTCTCGTACTGGCCGGGATGGAAGTAAATACTTTTTAGTTATGGCAGCCCCATCACTATATAGAACACTCACTAACATACTTACTCACTCACTCACTCACTCACTCACCTTCCCACCCACCCACCCGCCCACCCACTCATCTCCCCACCCTCCCATCCACCAAATTCAGACTGCACCTCCCCCTGAACAATGGGTTAATTACTACTAATAAACCCCTCACTTTCAGCCCAGCCCCAGACGGTAGGCAGACCGGTAGCGATGAAAGGGAAGGCTGGTCTCAAGGCAAGACCCAAGCAATTACCCCAGCCGAGAGCAGTACTGAAAGGAGCAGTAAAGGATGCAGACGCAACGGGTGCAGCGAACAAAGTGAATGTTAAGGCAATTCTTGCGGAATTGTTCCATCCAGACATTCAAATGCGGCTCAGTAATTAGAAGATAACACGCCTCCGAATTAAAAATCAAATGCATATTTGTCGATCACACCTAACGGCTAGGTCTTCAATTGCTTAGAAGCGCTGTAACTAATACTTGTGGTAGAGCTCCTGCAAGAGTTGAAAGAATCCTCGAGCTAGACTCATACTTGTTGATAGGTACTTAATACTGGAGATACAGCCTGATAGAAGAGCAAAAGTCGGAATCTTCCTAGATGGGTCTAGTATTTGTATCTGATTTGATCTAAAGAGCAACAGCAAAAAGCCGCCAAGGCCGAGCTCGAGGCCAAGCTAAAGGAGAAAAAGGAGGAGCGGGTATATTCTCACTAGCTTCTTTCTTACCCTGCAAGTCTCACTAGCTTCCTTGAAAGCTTCAGAACTAGTTGCTGCCGTCGACGTGATCTGGAACTTGGTTGTCAACGCGATCTACAGATCAGCAAGAGGTTCCTATCGCAAAAAAAAGAGATTATATTCGAAGTCTTGAAATAACCGAGTTCGTGAATGAGTTAAAAAAGTGCCTACGCTGCTTTTCTTTCGGTGTCTCTATTCTGATTCTAAGTTAGTAGTTACTTGGTTATTCGAGTTTTTCGAATGCATACGTTGTTCATGACATTATATTTTTTCTGGCACATCAGCTACAGCATCAAGTTCTACATGTACACACAGAAGACAACGTGAACAGCGTATGAGAGTAGAGCAAGTCCGTGGTCTGCGCCGTGCGTGTAGATTTAGCAAGAAAGGCAGCTGATTCTTCCTATCATATCCTATCCTATCCTGGTGCCAAATCAAACACATCACAAATTGGAAAGATCAAGCAATCTACATTCAACACAACTACAGGCGAAGATGACAAGGATGCTGAAGGACTTGTTACGGGTTTGCTTCTCATCATTTTCACTTCAACATTTCGCATTTTGTTTTCACTACCATTCTACGAAGCCAGAACCTGTTATCATTATCATTCTCATTTCTACTTATATTAAGAACGAACGTGACCATACTGGTAACAGATTTTCGCTTCATGCATTGGGGACTTGTTTTCCAGTAGGAAAGAGGTCAGCGATCATGTTTTAGGGATGAATGCAAGGCATGTTGCAACCTCATCTAAAATTACAGAAGGAGAGGAGACACCGGGAGGCCAGGGCTGCGAAAGAGAACTCTCCGGAGAGAATAGCAAAAAAAGTGAAAGTCGCCCATCTTAAGATTATAGTTTTGAAATACTTCTTGCCAGGCACATCAGTCAATCAGCCAGTCAGCCAACCAATCAAAGACGAGCGAGGGCCCACGAGGTGCAGTTCTTTACAGCAAGGGTAGTCCTCGACGACATGATGGCGGGATTAGTAAAGTAAGTGCTGAGGACAACTTGTGATTTATAGCACTACGTAGAGTAGAGCCCTTCTTGTTAAGATAGATGATGGATGTGTCATGTAGAGGAAAGAAGACGTGACCAAGTCGCGTGACTTCTGGTTGTACAGCACATGAAGATGGTGACAACAAACATCAACAATCAACATGTACATGCCCCCCTCTAATGTAGACGAAGCAAAAAAAGCAAGAATGAAAGAAAAGAATAAGGTGACCGAAATAAAAAACAAAATGAAACCGGTTGAAAAGGAAAACTAAGGGTACGCTTTTGGTGTTCCTGTTGCCGTTAATTTTGCCGTTCTTTAGGGAGACAGGCAGAGGCAAAACGAACGAGGTAAGCTGACACCAAAGCCCAGCCTTTAAGAACGCGAAAGACTCACAAAGCAGATAGAGAAGATAAAAGAAGCACAACATTAAGGCTTCGGAATGGATGACATATCAAAGGTTGCAGCTACTGTCAGCCTCAGTCAATCAAAGAGTGGATGTGTTTCCTCCATTAACACACAAAGCAAAATGTGGCCATGCCAGGGACACACAGTGTCACATCATGACATGATGGACGATAACACCTTGTTGCAACCAACATAATTACTCCCGCCTTACTCAACGTTCGTAAAGGTATCTGACTAGACTCTCGAAGGATGGAAAACTTACGTCGAAATATGGAGCAAAAAAAAAACCGCAAGCCTAAAATCAAGGATGCTTCAACCCTCGCTCCATCATAAAGCCATCTGCTCTTTGTCAAAACTTTCGCATCATGAGTATCAACAAGTACTATCAACAAGTACCATCAACAAGTACTATCGACAAGTAGTACTATCAACAAGTACTCTCAACAGGAGCGTCTGCAGGCCTTGGATGGCCGTCTCGCCTTCTCCTGCATCCCTCAATGCCTCCTCTAAGAGCTGAAGAATAGCAAGGATCCGAGAGTACAATTATGACAGCTGTGGCTTCTATACAGTTCCAATTTTTATCCACAAAGTTAGACTTTAAATAAGCGTCCTAGGTATACCTCATTAGCATTACTCATCTCCCCGCTCAGCATCTTGCCACCTTTTTCCCCTGTATCATTCCTACGAATAAATCCGACAAGGATGCGTCTTAGGCCAGCAAAATGCTTTTGCTTGCGGCCTGGATTTTACTTTTAGTGATCTAGACACACTGTCCAATTCTGACGAAGACAAAAGCCAAAGGTCTTAACCTGGATAGAAGGGCCACATGGTTCAAAGTTTTTCGCCTGATCCTCTGGCGCAGCGCGCTTGTTGGTCTTATCTTTTATCTGGCCAGGTCGGTTGTCGGGCGGCGTGGGCTGTCTAAGAAACGGTAGGAGACGACCACGCACGGGGTGCGTGGTTGGCCATGCCTGGCCGCCTCCCGCGTCTCTGTTTGGCCGCCGTTTTTTCCGTCTTTGATTTTGACTGAGTCCCACGCTCGTTCTTCACGCTCGTTCTTTCTGACTCCTTCCGCCCCTCTTGATCTTCTGGCAGACAGTAGCTTGATGCGGATTGTGCAGAGAAAGACAGTTCTACCCCTAGTATTTGATTAGAGTAGTTGTGCGTGTGCGATCTTTTGCCGTGTTCTCTTTGCTTCAAAGCTTATTACTAGAAGGACTACCAGAAGGGCAGTCGAGATGAGGGGGCCCGGATTGATTCTAGCACACTCTAACGCAAAAGGTGAAAGAGGAAGCAGCGCACCTCAGGTTACGGATGCTCTCATGGGAAAATGCTACTTCTAGATAATTTAAATCCCGGAGCGATGGGACTCGTTTTGATATTCAATATTATATGTTTATATTATTAAGTAATTCTTCCTTCATCTGGAAACACTAAGAAGAAAGGTGACGAGGATGGAGATTATGCTTCTTATCGAATCTTCAAAACTGGTGGTAGAGCTAGAGGGCTAGATGAGTTGTTTTGTTATCCCCAATCGTTCTGGCATTTTTCTCACGCTCGATACTATTTATTATTACATGCCCAGAAAGCGGGCCCATCAAGGGCCCGCTGCGCTGGGCATAGGTCGGCAGCAACTAGACAGATAAGAGCACGGCGGCCGTGGCCAAGCTAGCCAGCAGGCTCGCGGGGCGCGGCAAAGTTAGAAGACTGGCGAGGGCGAGGCAGCTGCTGAGCTAGATTTCGCCAAGCGGCTGGCAAGCTTGCTATGGGCAAGGAGCTAGCTTGCCTAGCCAGCCAGCTAGATAAGGGCGAGCGGCTAGCGGGGTGGTGAGCTCGATAGCAACGGCGCAGCAGCTAACAGGCTAGGCATGCCTAAAGAGCAGCCAGCAAGCTAGCTATGTCTGCTGAGCAGCTAGCAGGCTACGCGTGCCGGCTGAGCAGCTAGCGCGCTAGCTATGCTATGGCCAATCCGCTACCTAACTATGGACGCAAGCAGCTAGCGGGCTCGCTTTGTATGGCGAAGCTTCTCGCAGGCTAGCTACGGGCAAGAGATAAGCCTGCTACCTAGCAGGCTAGCTAGCTATAGCCAAGCAGCTAGCGGGCTTGCTTTGGCCGCTCATTTCTTAGCAGGCGAGGCTAGCTCTGGCTAAGCACTTAGCAGGCTAGCTCTGGCTAAGAACTTAGCAGGCTAGCCATGGCTAAGCACCTAGCAGGCTAGCTACGGCGAGGCTAGGCAGCTAGCTACGTATGTGCAAGCGGTAAGCCAGCAAGTTAGCTAGGGCGCGGGGCCCTTAAGGGAGGGAAGGGCCCCTAACGGAGGGCCCTTAAGGGAGAGCCTTTAAGGAAGGCCATGCCAATATTCGCCCAAGTTTGTAACAGAGCCGCCTTAGGGGAGCTCTCTAAGAGTTTTTTTTGTCCTTTAAAGAAAAGCTATTATAACTGTGCATGATAGAGAATCCTTAAAGATTTTCGTTTCTTTAAGGAAGCCTCCATAAGGTAGGAGGCCCCTTAAGGGACGCCCTTAGCCTTAAGAAATTCACACTAATTGGTAGGCCTATATGTTGTACTAATATCAGTTGTTATCTTTTTCCAGGCAGATAACAGGTGGACCAGCACTCTCTCAGCGAGCCAAAAAAATCATTCACACATGAAGACAACATCACAGGAATAATTTTTTCCTACACCTCTTCTAGTTCAATCATCACCCTCGATCATCGTCATCATGTACTCTGATATACTGCTGGAGTGGGTGCATTCATTCCTTCACTCATTCAGCAATATACCTACACACTGGTGGCGTCGGCCGTTCTAATGTGTATGAATGAAATCGCGAAGACAGCTGAAGAGATCGAAGACCGCTTCAAGCAGCTAAAGCGCGCGGTCGAAGCGACCCAAGCAGAGCTTGACTTAAGGGCTACCACAGACATTTAAAGAACTAGAGAGTTAGCAGTTTTCTTTCATTGAGTTGTATTGTATCTTCACTAACATCGTTCCCCGTGCAGATTGTCTACTACCCCCTACTTAAAGAAAAATGGATTAACTTGGTTGATTCAGCGACTTTTCTCTAACTCATTCGAAAAAGGAGAGACTGCAAGAGCTAAGATGTATGGCCGTCATCTTCATCGTCGTGGTACCAGTGCCATCGTCTACTACCATGTTAAGTAAGTAAGGAAGTAAGTAAGTGGTCAAGAAAGTGTAAGTAGCGATCGAGAAAGAGGGAGGAGGGCCAATTCTAACGTAGGCAGAAAGTGATCGAGAAAGACGGAGGAGGGCCAATTCTAATGTAGGCACAAAGTCATTGAGAAACAAGACGGATGGGGCCAATCATGCTAATGTAGGAACAATTCTAGAAGTATAAACTTCATCTTCGAGAAGATGATTAATAATGATGCGCGTCAATTCATTCATTTTTACTCAGATGAAGATGTTTTTACAACCGGAGGACTTTGATGTGGGTCGTCGTGAAAGAGGGTTCTCATTTTCCTTTTGTTCGTGAAAGAGTTCGGGTCATACTTCTTAAACTTCCTTGTTCGGTTCATACTTCTTGTTCGGGTCATACTTCTTAAACTAATACTCTGATTCGCTTCTTGAGAGTAGTATTCTAAGTGTCCAGCAGCGAACTCGTATAAACAAGAACTAGGATGCATCGCTGCGAAGTATGAATCGACCTGAACATGCATCAATAGTATCGGACGAGTTGGTCCTCGTCCTCAATATTTACATGTATTCCCCTGGGTTGCAGGCTCCCTCTCTTAATCACTAGCACCACACCCTTTCATAAGTGCCAAAGTGAAAGCGGCAAGGGGTCAGTAGAATACTGGCACCGCGGACGATTAGCGCCGTAAAGTTGTGCATTCCAAGGTGTTGTATGTCGTGCTGTACCTCCTCGGACGGCGCTCTCGCTCTGCCTCCTTACGATGACAACTGCACCTAATATTTTTCGACTGTACCCCTAGATTGAGTTTACCACTACTACTAACTAGAGACCATAGCATGTATTGGAACTGCCTTACGAAGTTTTTTCACGACCTCTTTCATGAGGAGCACCGAATTAAGTTTTTCGTTTCTTGCATCAAGCCACTGCGGTCTCGGCCGCACCCGCACGGGGATTCATCAAGTAGCACTTCTAGCACTAGAACAAGTAGAATGTTAAGCTCGATTGCTTCAACGTCTCCACACCGTTCCTCGTGGTTGTTGGTAGCTACCTGTCCAGTCTTCGCTACCTATCCGTCGCTATTTTGACACTATTATTCAATATATTGAGGCTTGAAGAAATCCATCTTCCCAATCATCTTTGGCCCTTTTCTAAAGGGAAACGGGTACGGAGATGCTCTCCAGGATGGATTTGCGCAAGTTGTAACATTTTTTATCTCGTGCCTGCGGTTTTGGTTTTCGGTACGGGGACAGCAGCCTGCTCATCTTCTACGACGACAATCTATCAAGTTTCTAGCGAAGTAATATTTATAGGAGATCCTTGTATAATTCTTCGCTTCTTTAACAAGTCTTCACAGTCATTCGCCACTACAACTTCGTCTTTTTTCGCCTTGAAAATTCATCGAGGAGGACCTTTTGATCATGTCCACCAAGAAAAACACTGTGATGATCGTCCATGCTCCGTAAATAACGTCACAGTGCGTGATGCCTTTCAGCTCATTCTTATACTACTCACGAAGAACTTCTCGTGCATAAATCTAGAAGTACTGAAGAAGAAAATGAGCGAGAAGAAGAATATGATTCTTGCGCTCCGTAGTTTTCCATTGACGGACGAGGCGAAGACTAGACGGAGATGGAAAATGTATGTGTAACCTTGTCCGCCCATCAACAGGAGGTGGGGTCTTTTCCTCCTTGTCCTCGTGATCTATCCGTCAGAGCAGGACTCTATATTTCCTTGCGTTGAAGCACAAAAAAAGCGAAAAAGCCAAGAGATAGAGCGATGGGAACCCATTTTCCATTGCTTTTCAGCGAATCGCTTTTTTAAAAAAGTGGACGAACAACACAGCCGACAAGCGAGATGACATGTCACTACAACATGTAAGCTACCCGGCAACTTTGCTGAACTTTATAAGAATAGAATAACCATGTAAATAAAAAAACGGTTACCCATTCCTGCTTCTTGATTGTGCATGACTGTGCGCTTCCAAGCGTGCTGCGGGGACGTCTAATCATGTAATTATGACAACATATACAGAGCCAGGCTACAGCTACACTACACTTACACGTCAACTGTAGTAGCTAGCATAGAGAATAACAATAAGTATAAGATGGCAGGCTTCAGTCCCAGCATGTTCCTGTTTGGGAACATGATCGCGGGTGGGGCCGCAGTCCTCTTTCGAAATTACATGGATAGCGTGGAGAGCAATTGCCAATACTACATGCAGGTAACTAAATGTAAAGTTTTTCGTAGTCGTAAACGTAATAGTAGAGACTTCGCAAGTTGTAGTAGAAGTTTTTTGCATAATATTCTTTCTCAGTACTAAAAATCTACACATACTAACTTTTTGTCGATGCAGCTGCGAATTTTGTATGAGAGAGCATCATTTTCTAGAGCAGGACGTAATAATCGAATAATCCTTGATCGAAGATAACTTTGATGACGACTTCTCGGGTTCGTTGGCTTGGAAAATGCAAGTCAACTACTTTGTCAGCAACAACTTACTTAGTCAACTACCCAACAACTTTTTCAGGTTGGCAAGGGTTGGCAAGGGCAGCTGGCGAACGGGAGGAGGGAGATAGTGCAATTCAGCCTCATGCAACAGTGGAATACTGCGCTCTTAGTGTTACACAAAACTTTGTGGATGTAACATTTATATTTATTTAATCCAAATGCAATTTTTTAATCCACCAAAAACTACAAGGGGCGACTACTTCTAAATCTACATTAAGATGACGGAGATGAAAAGAAACGAAGAATTTGCCCCTGCCCTTGCTGTCTTGCGTAAAGAGCGGTTCTCTGTTTGTTTGAAGAGCCATCTTTTCTTTGTTCCTCACATGGAGGTTGATTTGGCACCATTGATATTCTTGAGCTGCTATTTGGATCTTGATATTCCTGCGCAGTTGCTCTCTGACAAGAGCACGACTGACGCAAGACACCAAAGATGTAGACTTTCTTTATGACGCTCGTCATAATTCTAATTGCAACAGTCAGTAATTAAACCCACAGAATGACGCAACTGCGCCCTCTCCACGTTGGATGTGTGTTCGCCCTCTTCTACTTCGTCCGGACAGAATGCAGTCGCGCGCTCCAGTTGTTCGTCTTCTCTGTTATTCGAGAAGCACATGCTGTTTTTGGACGACCTAGTCAACCCGTGGTGTATCGACAATCACATGGAACGAAAGGTGCAGGCGGTTTTAAAGGAAATGCACATGCAGCAGATGTTAAGGCTTGAGGAAATCCATGACTTTCACAGGCATCTTGGTCCCGTTCTCCAAGGGAAAAGGGGACGAAAGATGCTGCTGCAGATGCATCTCTACAAGTTCTAAAGATGTCGTTGTCCATGACCTAGCATCCTTCGTCACTGCCTTGAGGGAGCTCGGTAGAGGTGGTGCTGGGTTGGCATCAGCTCGCTTAACGTGGCTGGCAGAGGATCCTGCGGGAGAAGGCGATGCTTTATTCTCCCTTCTGCAGGATGCACGAGCCCTGTTGGGAGAAGGGGAAGGCCAGTTAGTACTCGCGGACCAGTGCAGTAGGACTGTTTCTGTTATGAAGAACATTTGATGGGCTTGGGCGATTAAGTAGCTTTTTTATCATGTCTTCTAAAGGATGAGTGTACTTTTGCGGTCCTTTCCAATATCATGATAGAACAGCTGCAAACTCTAACTCGTCTCTAATTGAACGCGGCGTCACCTTGGAGTCACAGAAAGCCTGTTTCGAATCGTTCTGTGCGCTGAGCGAAAAGGTGGAAAAAGAAAGGCGAGCGATAACACGAGAAGACGTAGATGAGGAAGACGAAGATCAACAAAGGGTCCTGCAAAACGACAATTCTTGCCATGCAGAATTTTTCGCTTATGTAGTAGACGCTGCTCGAGGTGCTATACCCGAAGCTGCGGCCTCGCTTCGTTTCTGTCATTATATGGTCAACAGCCTTTATTCATCTTCTATCTCAGCATCTTCCTCGTTGCCCTTTTCCTACAAAGTACTTGGATAAACTTCAAGACGTCAAGATAAGCGGATTGGCATAAATTTATGCCTACTCTAAGGTCATGCGAGTCTGCAGAGGCTCAGCAGATCTAAACCCACTGAGAACAACATCAACCCAAGTCCAGCAGAGATGCAGTATGTGCTTTTGGCGTTAGCTGGATTGCATTATTATGGAGTAGTTGGACCGACTGGACCTGGAGAAAATTACATCATGCCAAGTTGGATTAGTATATCCGCTATCGTCTAGAAGTAAGACCTCCATCATTATGTTGGAGTTGGACTGGAGGAAGTATCATGCCATAATGGAATTGGGCTAGGAATGTAGAGAGATTAGCAGGACATCTGAGGTGGATATGATCGGAGAGGTTACCTCTAAACCTCTACATCCCAAGAGTGGGCACATCGATCAGTCAATCAATCAAGCAATCTATCAATCAATCAGAATCAGATGCATCAGCGCTTTCCTCTAAGACCTCAAAGCCAGACAGTATGAAGTTTCGTGGCAGTTCACTGGTGAAGCAAATCGCGCTGCTCAAGAAGGATGCGATCAGAAAGGGTTACTCCGGTGTCTTTTTCAGAGCGCTTTATTGCAGATTCAGCAAGGACTCTTTGCTCGCGCTCAGGCGAGTTTGCGTGCATGCGGAGAACAAGCTAGTGTTGTACAGACTAGAGTTATGTTGATTCATCTTGTTGAAAGGATTTAGATCTCTTTTGCGCAAAGTAGAGACTTCATGAACTACTATAGGGTTGGTGGTATAAACTCACTCTATTTTTTTGCGCAAAATTAAGGATCGTGGCTGAATGAACCTGAAAAATCACAACTCTTCCTGTGAACCAACGCAGCTTTTGGTTTTGGTTTTGGTGATATGTATTTCTCTAAAACCCATCTTGAAGTGCTCGCCTGGAGCGCACTAGCACGTTTGGTGGCATCGCGGCCACACTTGTTGCGCAACAGAGCATTTCTAGCGGGCTCGTCTCCTACTTTGCCAGGAGGACAAACGTTTGGAAATGTACAGGAACCAAAGTTATGCTGGATGAGATTTACCTACTCGAAAAGTGAAAATATGCGAGTAGCCACCTGAAATTAAAGACTCTTGACTTCCTTCCTCGTCATTGTTAAGTATCTCGGTTATTCAAAGTAGCAACTCGCGTATTTCAGTTTTTCGAATACTTCAAACCGAGATGTTGAGTGCACTTATTGTTGAGGACTATAATGAGTCTCTAACTCAAGTCCCTGGAATTGTGCCTGGTGGTTTCACGGTGCCTGCTGCGCCGTTTCTAGATCACACAGCTGTCGCCGCACATGAAACTTTGGTGACCTATCATACGCTTGCAAATCAAGCAAGCTTCAGATCTTCTTGTAGGACAAGGACTACTTGTGGTGCTGGGTCTTCATCTTCTTCATCTTCTTCTGGGTCGTCAACATTAGCGGCCACAAGAATGTCCACATCATATGGTGCAAATCTCTTAGCAGGTCAGAGTCTAGTTTTTTGCGTGTCAGGACAGCGTGCACTGGCAGAGGCAAGCGCACGTGTTGCACAGAGGTTTCATTTAAGGCTTTCAGTGATTCATCTTAAGAGGTATCTTTGCCTTCATTTCTAAGGGGAAAACGCGCCAAAGATGCCTTTCCGGATGAATGCAAGTAAGGTCTAACTTATCCAGGGGTTTGTGGTGGAGGTGGAGGTCGTGGCCCTTCTAGTTCCACCGCTAGTAATAGCAGAGAAGATGCGCAACTTCTAAGTGATCAAGGTGCTTCATCAACTTCAACAGGGCGGAATGAGAACAATAACTGTTGCTCGCAGTTCCTGAACTCCGATCAACAGAGAGACGCATTTGGCCACTGTTGGCGACTAGGCGACTTCGAAACTTGTCAAGAACTAGTCAAATACACTTTAGAGGATCGCGGAGTACATCTTTTGCAAAGAGCGCGATTGAGTCTTGCTCGTGGTGATTTCGTGACTGTGGTGGATCTACTAGATTCAGCGTCGACATTGTTGGCCAAGGATATGAAGCGAAAATCTGGCATCATTATCAAGTTTCTTAAGTGGAAAAGTGTGATAATGATAATAGATTTTGGCCTCATAAAGGAGATTTTATGTGGTGGGAACCAAGAGGGTGATCGCCTTGGTGGACAATCTCAACCTGTTGCTGTTGGTCAATATAGAAGTCAGCCGTCTATTCAATTCGCGACGATCAGAGAGCGACCCATGGTGCAGCATGGAGGAAGCGAGTCATCAACCAAGAAGAGCATAAGGTGGAGCAATGCTCAGAAATGGAGAATCGATATGAGATGCAAATCAAACGCGGCCAAGCCAGGCGTTTGTAAAGAAGAAAGTGGACGAAATGGACAGAAACGACCTCGCGATGGATTAGAAGAAAAAAGACAAGCGGGGTACTTGCTCTACCGTGACCACCTCACAATTCAGGATATAACACTCGCACACACGCTTATTGCCGACGCCCATCTTGTTAAGGCTCAATGTATTTCATTTCCACGAGACATTTTTCGCAGTTTCCTTCTGAAGGACCTGAGAAAATGAACGACCCAAGAAATGAAATGTTTTGAGCTCTAATCTTGGTTGTCAATTTCCTGTGCCTGCGGCTCTCGCCTGTGGGCGTGCATTACTGCTAGCACAGCGATTTGGGTTACAAGAAGCGCGAGCACGCGCACTGAGTCGCGTTGCGTGTAAGTATGCACTTGCAACTTGAAGGCTTTGCCGCTGCTCGTAAGACTGTAAACCAGGCACGTGCGCTCCTGCAATGTTGCAACACTTAATAAGGCTACCGCTGAAGCATCCTCAGCGCCATCCCTGGCCCTTTTTCTAAGTACTTGAAAATAGGATCACGGACGCACTCAGGGATGCTAGCGCGGTAGCTCTAAAACAGTAGAGGCAGCGAGCTTTCAGGCTACGTCGCAGAAGTGGCTGCAGATGTTTGTCTTGCGATGGCAGCGAAACTACAACTCGTGACGAGAGCACAATCTTCACAAAGAACGTCATTTTTGACAAGTACTGCCCCCCCTCCCTTCTCAAGAACAGAGTCGGCTCCTGGTACACCAGGAACACCGGCAGAAACGTGGGAGGATGCGGTGACCTCGACGAGTGATTCCGGAAGTGGCGATGAAGTCCGCACAATTTTTAGAACTACTGCAACAATCACGCGTGGCAACGAAAAGGCAAATCCTTCACGTCCATCAAGAAGCAGTCGTCAGAAATTTCGTAGGCATATTGATGCTTCTTTGAAAACAACTTTCATTCCATTCGATCAGGTTCAACAGGAGACAAGTAATAATTCTAGAAGAAGTAGAAGAAGAAAACCAGGAGCAGGAGTAGCAGTTACTCCTGGAGAACTAGTTCAATTGCAAACCGAAGCGTCAGATCATTTGGTCAATGCACTGGAGAACTATGAACATGAAGCGTTGGAGGATGTACTTTCGTTAAATCGAGCCTCAAGGAAATTGGCGTTTCTTCACAACGATACTTGAGGCAACGCAGACTGCATCCTCAACGTCATCCTTGGCCCCTTTTTCAAGTAGAAAAAGGGGGTCAAGGATGGCCTGAGGGATGTCACGCGGTAGCTCTAAGAGATGCGGGAATTTATGAAACGTGATAAGGCTACGGGAGTCGTGCGTGGTGTTGCGCGGTTCTTGGGTGTGCAAGCGGAAGAACGGCGAACCGTCTCAAAAAAGGACATTACTGCGCCGTTGGGCAGTACTACAAAAAAGACGAAAGCTGCCCTATCAGAACTAAAACAAGCTGTGCAGAGTCTACATTTGGCGGCCAACAAGAAGATGAAAAGTTCTACTTCTGAAGCAGCACCAGAGAGAGGGGAGTCTGTTTTATACGCAGCTGCTTCAGATGGACCTTCTGCTTCAGTAGACGTTCGTGACTTCGCAATAAATTCTAAATCCGCCGTCGTGGATAATATGGACGTTGACTGAGAAGTCACGTAATTTGTTTCTTGAAGAAAATTATACGCGCCAAATCCAAAAGAGAAGGAGATGCTTCTAATACTCCACCAAATTCTGCTTCTCAGTGGAACCTTAGAGAGTGCTGCCGCATGCTTGGCTGCGCTTGGAGTAATGTGGCGAGTAGCATTGTGTTCGGAATCGGATAATATGGTAGGCCGTAAAGTCAAACTGGAAGGACAGCAAGGACATCTTTAGAAGAAATCAATTTTACACACCATCAAAAAGCCCAACCTTGCGGCGTGTTGAATCCATATTTATTGAATACTATTCTTAAGAAGTTTCGGGCTTTTTACGTCAACAGGAAAGAGCAGTAGAAGGTAAAAGCTTGGGACGCTAAAAAAACGATGAAGTCAGCGCAACTCAGAGATAAGTTGCTGAAAGCTGCTTTTCCAACCCGATGAGGCACTCTGTATGTGACGCAAACTACAACCAAATATATATAATCGTCTCTGTGATGTCCAAAAAAGTAGGAAGTCAGAGGTCGTTAGAGACTACACTCCTTGCGTCAACAAAGTCATTCGTAGTATAAATTTTCCGTACGGGTATGTAAGCTTATTCTGCATCAAACAAACTTTGGATTTACTTTTAAAATTTCAAGTTCGGTATTAATTCCGAGAAAATACACGTGGACGAAGACGAACGTTGGGATTTCATCTTCGCTCATCATCAGGAGTGGCCCCGAACTACTACACGAAAATGTCTTCGACCACTACTGCGGAAGAGGCCGTCGTCAAGCCTACGGTCGAAGACGCTGATGCCGTCGGCGGGCTCGGTGCTGGCGCTATCGAGAGAAAAATCGAAGAATGCGGCTCCGGAATTGCAGCTGGTGGTGAAACCGTAGAAATCAAGAAGGAAGAAGTAGTGGTCTTTTCAACCACGAAAGAAGAGACAGAGAGGGCGATCGAAAGAACAGATAAACTACTGGAGGAGAAGAAACTAGAGGAACAAAAGGATGCTTCTTCTGAGGAGGACGAGAAGAGAGTAGACGTTAACGCTGAAAAAGTAGTAGCCGATGATGTAGAGAAAAACGTAGAAGACAAGAATCAGAATGAAGAGCAAGAAATAGATGTAGCGAAGAAGGAAGACGACGAGGATGGTGAGCAGAAAGCCGACACTACCGAAGAAGAAACGAAGAAATCCACCAAGACGACAACCAATTATCAGTCCTTCTCCAATACTAGTGGCCATAGCTCCAATGAGAACAATGCTAGCACCATTAACACACCCTCTGCGCAAAAGGGTAAGAAAGGAGCTAACAACAAGGGCTGGAGCACTGGTAGTGGTTTCTATGCTGGATTTGCAGGCGGAAAACCTAGTTTGGACAAGAACTCCAAATCGTCGAAAGGAAGCAACGGCAACCTGTACAACAGTTTTGGAGGCAAGAAGGGCATGCAGAACGGCTTCGCAGGTGGTAAGGGATATGCAGGTGGTATGGGCGGTAAGATGAAGAACGGATGGAAAGTTAAGGCGATGGATAAATTAAATAGTTTTTATTCTATCTCGTCATGATGAAAGAAGGAGACATGATCCAGACGTGATCTGCGTCTAGTTTGGTATTTTCAGATGCGCATTGCAGGCCGTGGACACATAACAAACTAGGTTAAGATCGGTGTCCTTCCGTTTCTAACCCTAGCAGCAAAAATGGCTACAAGGGCGACCATAACAGATATGGAGGTAGCAACGGTAAAGGCGGCAACTACAACAGCTTCAACAACAAGGGTGGCAATTTCAACAACATGAAGGGCAACAAGGGTAAGGGCAAGAGAAAGCTCGGCAAGGTACAGGACGCGTACATGGTTCAGCTAAAGCAGCAATTCGAGCGAGATGACTGTTAAGAAACATCCCTTTACGTTTTTCATCCCTTGTTTACATCAATCTAATAGAAGAAGTCGTGAAAACAATAACTGAAGAAACCTTCATCATCTTTAAACCTTCTAACCTTCGTATGAGACGACGGGTAGGTTTCTACAGTCGGCAGCTCGAGTCCCGTTGTTCGAACCTCTGGTGCAGCAAACTCTAGCGCCGCATATGGTGCCCCCGCAGCCGCGACTCATCGCGCCGTGGGGTGCGCCGGGAATGATGATGTGCATGTCCTAGACATGTGATGCTCTAGAAAGGCGGTAAACAGAAATGGAAATTTTAGAACTACGAGGTAGTCGTCGTAGATTTCCTTTTCCAGCGACCACCTCAGAACGAAATGAAAACTTTTCGTATCTGGGTGCATTTCAACTTACCTCTAAAGCAAAGACTAGAGAACAGCTTCGCGTCATGACCAGCATGATGCAGAGCAAGACGCTGAAGATGAAACAAATTGCCAAGTACTAAGTATGAGGAACAAGATATTATATATAAGTCGATAAAAGTGATTTTGTAGATTCCACGACTAGAAGTAGAATGTGATTATGATCTAGCACATGGACTAAGAAGTAACTACGGCTCTGCCCACGCCCAGCCTCTTGCTCTTTTTCGTATATGTTGCAAATTGAGGGTGATATTATTTCCGTTTCGTCTATTACTAATTGCATCTGAATAAACTTCCACTGGCTTCCTTTGTTACACTTGCATCAAATCGTAAAGCTATCCTACTGTTGTTATTTTTCTACTTTTTTCTCTCGCGTCGTCAACGTGTGATCTAAAAAACTAACCGGTCGCTCTGTCTATGAATGGTGCTGGTATTTAGCAACCTGATTTTTATCATGAGGAAAACCATAAGGGAATCCTTGTTGTGATCGAATTCAGGTTAGGAAATACCAGAGCCATGCAGCCTATTTGTTCTCATCAAAGGCTTACAGCAGCCGTTTCAGGAAACCATCAGCGACGTCAGCCTGTGGCTAAGAATCAGAAAAGCAGCATCTTGAACTACTTCAGGGAACCCAATCTCTTCTCCCTTATCGAAATTGTGTCCGCTACTTTTGTTTTTTTTTACAAGGCGCCGGCCATGCTGTTAGGCCGGAGGAACAAGCGCGAAGCCCTCAGCCACAAAACGGCGAAAGAGAGAAGGAGGAACCTCCCCGATCTGGGGAGGGCGGTCCAGTGGCCCGGGCCTGCCGGCACTAGTGCGGAGGCCTCCTCTCCAGGCCACAAGGCCGGCCCCTGGCCCTGAGGCCTTGGCTGCGAGTTTGCGCCGGTGGCGCCCCTCTATGGATCACGCGACCCCAGGCGGATCCCCTTGAGATTGCATCACCCGACCCGGCTTGGCAGGTTTTGGCCGTCCAGCCGTATGGCCAGGAGGTTCGTTGGGGCCACACGATGGACCGCGTAGGCGCGGCGTCGTCAGCTCGGCGGGGCTCCCCGGGGTCTCATCTCGCTCCCCGCACAGTCTGGCGCAGCGTGGTCTCCATGTTTTTCCCCTGGGTGTCGTGTGGGGCGGTGACCAGCCTGAAAGCCACCCTCCTGCCAGCCGAGTCGCCTCCAGGATCCGGACTAGAGACCCTCTGGAGCTGGTTTTGTGTCGGGGGTGTGCCTGTGCGTGTGTAGAGCTGTGCGTGACGGGGGCTGTGTGTGTGTCGGCGGAGGCTATGTGTGTGTCGGCGGAGGATGTGTGTGTCGGCGGAGGTTGTTGCGTGTGTCGGCGGAGGGTGTCTGTGTGTGTTTGTTTGTGTCGGCGGAGGGTGTCTGTGTGTGTGTCTTTGTGTGTGGCGGTGTGACTGAGGCTGTGGGCGCCCTGGCGCGGGGGGGGGCTCTGTGTGGCGGGGGCGGTGTGGACGCGAGCGCGCGGGCGCTGGCCGCGGTTGTGGCTGCCGTGGCACACGTGGCTGCCGTGGCACACGTGGCTGCTGTGGCACACATGGCTGCCGTGGCACACGTGGCTGCCGTGGCACAC